TCACGATGGAGGCGCTCTCAGAGTCGCCGCGGTCGCATTAACGTCTGGCGAATTAGGAATCCTCGCGGCTGGCATGGCGCAGGAGGAGTCCGTTCTTCTGTGTCATTAGCCTCGCGATGGCGTTCCTAGTCTCCTATTCAATGTCAGCAAGTCGGAGCCCATACGGCTTTGAAATTGCGTCTAGAAGGAATTACCGTGCTTCGGGGCCGGTGTCGAAAGGCGCGGCGGAGCAGAAGTGGTGGCTTTTCTTCGAGTCATGGAGATTTGCTAGGGCTGGCTCTGGTGAGACGACTCTCGGACTGCGAATCTTACATGCAAGTCATACTGGCAGGCAGAAACGTGGTCTAGATTCTGACACACACTGACAACAACGTGGTGATGATGGTTTGATAGATCCTATGGATGGGAGAATCTAGACAAACATCGACGTTGCTCATAGGAGTCTTGCAACTTCAAAGCCGAGGACTCTTTAAAGATCTCGGCATTAGACAGTAGGCTAGGCAGAGTCAAAATGTCGGCATTTGCTCATGAACTAAGTAAGATGCATGCTTCGGGAATAGCTTCAGATAAAGTTACCCTTACGTACGATGCGCCTCAACTTCGCCGTTCGTCACATTTACCGGCATACATCCGGCTCATCTTGCTTTGCAAAAGCTGCAATATCGGATGTGGAACGGCATATCATAGTGGATTGATACTCTATAGTGCCGTTTGCTGCATCCAAGCCCCTTCATTATATCTACATCAGAGCTTGCCTAGATCATATATATCTCGTGCGACCCCTAACTTTTGACGAGCTGCACATGATTGTACCATACGGCACACATACATCATGGAAGCTGCGATAAGTCGGTTCTGTGGAACTTGAGCAATGCTTTGCCGTCGCCGTAGACACCATTCGGCTCCGTCAACGAGCCGTGAAGTGTTTTTTCATACCGCAACAAACGGCTTAAACCTGCGAAAAACGGTCGAATAAGCGGCTTCGCTGTGCATTGTAAAGCGGAATGCACCAGAGCAATGTCCGTTGCTGCCATGTGGCACATGCGCGATCCGCTCTCGGGTCTAGTGAATACCGGCTGTTTCCTCGTGCTGCCAACGCCCGACGGATTCCAGAAGTCACGCCAGAATGTTCGACGCTTGACAGCACATATCCTGGCCTGAATTCTACGGACAACAGTGGTGCCACCATTAATTTCCGTTGAAGCCGGCGATGGTCAGAATGCGACCGATGTGTTCGTTCAACCTTCCATCTGAAGGGCGGACGCTACCACGAGCTGGGCGAGCACTTACGCCCAAGACCAGCCCATGCGCTCTCCATCTGCTCAACGTTGCTTCCGATAAGGTTGCCATACCACAATTGGAAGTGCCCCCCTTTTGTGACACGCGAGGCCGACAGCGTCCTTTCAAGCTCTTGAGGCCTCTTGAGGCCCACGCAGCGGTACGAGGAGGCTCAGGTTGACTTTGTGATTTGCAATCACAGGAGGTTGGAAATCGCCAAAGCTTCATATGCATAAGATGCTTGATCAGACTTCGGCATAACCCGGCGGCGCGCAAGCTTTCGAAGTTGTCTAAGTTCTCGATGCTCAAGCCCCATGCCTGACAGGAACCTGCGGTATATACTTTGGTTGGAATCTGGCATCATAGAGAGTGCCTTTTCCATCATACGGCGTTTCCTCCTTATGGAAAATCCATTGCAAGCGAATATGCTCCAGAATTGGCAGCCCGCTCGACCCGTTGAGTCCAAGATTTGGAGGCGGATAGGGACGGAACTTGCCAGTGTCGTTGTTCAAGGCTCCAGGATACGATTCGGAATTGTTCACGTCTGCCAAGTTAGGCGGGTCCTTGTTTGATACCAGAACTTTGCTTCCGAGGTTCTGCGCAAACTGGTAGATGTTGGCTCCAACATCATATCTCCCGAGGTTCGGAAGCTCCCAGTTGAACTCGACCGTCGACATCATCGAATAGTGCGAGTAGAAGGTATTGTCCTCTGTCCCTTTCAGGTTCTTGGGAATTGCACTTCCCATCAAGAGTGACACGATCTGGTTCGGCTTGCCCTTGTCTTCGGACTCGTCGTAGGTCAAGAGGATGAGAGTCCTCTCCTTGAAGGCGTCTTCGGCCAACATGGGCTTCAAAAAATCGCGGGCCCACTTGGTGGCGTACTCGAGGGTGGTATTGTGACCGTCGTTCATCATATTGGGAGTCATGAAAACGTACTGGGGTACTTGCTTGGCCTCAAAGTCGGTCTTCCACTCCTGGAAGTCCTGTATGTTGAGCAGCCGGGTTCCGTTGAGATTAATGGAGTCAAAAGAGACAAAGGGGCTGCGCGAATATCAGTTTCCACAAACAAACATCATCAACGGGCCAACCAACTTGTGCTTTCGGACGTAGTCCCACTTGCCGCCGCCCGTCTGGCCATCACTGGCATCGGCCAAGTAGCCCGGACCAGGCAAATCCTCCATGTATGCCTTCCATGACACGCCCCGCCAGTCCAGCAGATCCACGATGGTAGAGACGTTTATTGGCAAGCGTATGCGTTCGTCGTGGTTTAGGCCGAAGTAGTCGCCTGCAAGAGCTGCAATGTAGTTCGGCTGGCTTGGGTGGGTTTGGGCGTAATAATTGGTTAACAGAATCCCTTCCTTCTTCAGGTCGCCAATGTGGGAATCCTTGACTACTTTGGCAAAGTCCTGTGGACAGCTAATATCAGCAAGGGGCGCTGCCGGCGGAGGAATGTGGGCTGCATACCTGGTTTTCCAGCCAGATGGAAATCAATCGATCGAAGCTCCTACCGGGGATATGATTGGCTTGAGAGATCGCGAGAAATCCCGAGAGCAAGGCGAGAGAGAGGCGCATCGTGGGTTCTTGGCGTCCGCTATTGCATTGCAGTCGTCAATCGATGATATTGGAAAGGTCGAATCTCTCAAGAGGAAGCTGTTTTGTTTTGTTTGCTTCTGAGAGCCAGAAGCTACGGCTTTCGCGGCGAAATGCCATAATCGCAGAAAAGCAAACACATTGTGTCGCCACGAGCTCGCTTCCGCTCCGGTACGTGTCTCACAATGCTACAGTTCACCGGGGCCATGGCGGCCGAGGAGTGTCGCGCAGCACGCGCAGGCAAGCCAGCATCCCGTGCAGCGTTTGACGTCGATCCCCTTGAAACGCTTCCAGCGTGGCCATTGCCAGCTCCCATCTGCCATCTGCCAGCCACCTCAGCCTACGAAAGCCTGCCAAAGCCTCCCAAAGCCTCCTTGTGGCTGTGACCGGACCAAGGCACGAATAGGGACCCTGCACCGATCTCGGAGTGCTGATCCGCCATCGACAAGGATTTTGATCTGATAACTTTAAATGTGGACTGAAGAAAAAAAAACTTGGTGAGGAGGCCTGCGAGTTTGCGTAGCAGCTGCGGGCGATCACACCAGGCTGGAGCCCGTCGGGTCTTCGAAAAGCTTTTTCGGAAACTTGTGGGGTGTTCGTGTCTGCTGGGACGGGGAGGGATCCATTCCGCCTGCATCTGCTGCGCGATATGAGTGGTCGGAAAGATCAGTCTCTTTCGTGATGCATTCCTGCAATTGCAAACTATGACCCCACTCGTGTTTAACCGCTCGCTCGCGTGCCTGCCCCCCTTGTTCCTTGAGCAGCTGGGTTGGGCTTCGTGGTGAAATTTTTGCAGACGACGATTTTCGGGTCCCGAGGCATGCGGTCCGTCCTTCCACGTTGATGTTGGGGTTGTTGTTGGGGTCATCGCATCAGTCTTTGTCCGCTGGCAGCATCGATGGCAGCAGATCCCGTTCTGTCATCTTTGATAGGATGGGATGCATGAATTCCGACTGATGCAGCATACCATCGGTCGTGGCGGGAACCTGTTTACGAGAATCAAAAGTTCTCGCTTCGCATGCCGGTGATCATTTCGCGACCCAATGCCAATGGCACTGCCAAGGGTTCACCGTAGGTTCAAATGACAAAAAAGATCCATTGATGGAGACGGGGGCATCACGAACCCGGAATGGTCGGCAGCGCCTAGTGTCAATCGGTGTGGCACAGCCTGACACTCCTCCGCTGCAGGTGCTTTTTTTCACACCCGTCGGTACGGGCAAAGTAGCGTCGTGCATGCATCGCATCCCTGGAGAGACGGAGGCGGACTTTGAGAGGGGAAATGCTGAGATGTCGCCATGCCAGTCGAGGATGTATGACTCCAACAAGTGATGACAGTGTTTGGGCTGCTTCGACGGCCGCGTTGCCGACTAGACGACAGAAGGATCAAGAGGCGTCGTCCGGCGAGTGTCTGGCCTTGTCCTTGTGTGTTGTGTAGTCTGTATGGCTTCCTCCGTCTGGTCTAACGAGGCCGCGTCGTGGGGTTACTCAATGCCCTCGCAATCCCCCCATCACGACGTTACAACACAATCGACGAGGATGATGGCAGTCCAGGGCATGCCATCTCGATTTATGTCAAGCTGGTGGGAACCACGCGTCTTGCGTCGGCTTACTGCGTGGTATTTCGCTCGGTTTGTGGGTTGCAGAGAGCAAATTATCTGATGGAGATCCCTGCAGTGTGAGTCAAGAGATGGAGAACAATTGGGGGGAAGGCCCGATCTAATCTTATCAGATGCCCCACTTATTAGTGGGAATTCTGGCTCGGCGCTGCTCGGTTATACCACCTCGGTGCTCGGAGACATCGGTCTTAGGTAAGCTTTCTGGGCGCCCTCTAACAATCGTGCACCCAAAAATAGGTTGCACGCTGTTAAGCCTCACGCGTCGCAGCCTCGGCTCTAACTCGAACTGCCTGACAGGGGCAAGTTTCTTCCCTTGGCCTCTCCAGTACATCTTGACAGCAAACGGCAGGTGAAAAAGAACGCTCCGGACCGGAGCCTGACTTGAGTTTGTCACTCTGTACTTTTGTTATAACCATGCTGGTGGCAAGTGCTGCGCGCGGCATACTTTTCCCTAGTTTTTGATCATTCTTCTTCGCTGCGTTGCAATCGATAAGCCCGCATCAAGAAAGAAAAAAAATGCCCAACGAGGACAAAATGTCGCCCCCCTCAGTAGACGACAACGACAGTCTCTCTCCCACCAACTCCCGGGGAGATGACGACGAGAACAGCCAACACCCCCGCAAACGCCAGCGTGTGCGTCTCAGCTGTCTAGAGTGCCGCCGAAGAAAGCTCTCTTGTGACCGTGGCTATCCGTGCCAGCGGTGCTTGAAGAGCGGTACTCCTGACCGCTGCACCTACGAGACCAAATCTGGTGTCGTTCTGAACGCCAGCTCAGGAGTCCCCCCCGCGTTTGCCCAGCTGGACTCTCGGAGGAACGGTGAACTGGCCATGGGCGGCACCAAGGAAACCGACATGTCCCTGGTCCGGGAGGCGGCCAAGGACCACGACCGCATCCGCCGTCTTGAGCTGGAAGTCGCTCAGCTCAAGACTCAACTCACCCGACAGGCCATGTCCAGCTTCGATGGCAGCACAGTTGCCGGCACGAACTCACCGCACACTCAGAAGGATGAGTCTACCGACACGCCTGCCAATGATCCATGCGCCAACACTCACCAAATGGAGAAGTGCTGGCATCAGTACAGCGACGGTGGCGCCAATTCAGAGCTCCGCTTTTTCAGAGGCAAGGAATTCAGGACGAGGTATTTCGGTCCTCACAACGCCACGATGGCGTTCATCGAGGTAGGTCTATCGAGCTGCTCCGGGAGCCTCAATGATTTCATGGAGGACATTTATCTGACTTCATTCCAGTTGACTGGCCTGTGTCCCTTCATGAAGGAGACAGCAGATGAATGGCTGAAGCCAGTGAAGGCTCATGACCGCAAGGATCGTAAGAAGCGCAAGGAGGACCGCGACAAGTTTTACGCTCAGCCTGACCCACGGCTGGAGGCTCTTCTGCCGCCCAAGGAGCAAGTCGATGCCCTGGTTGAGGTCTACATTGACCAGTTCGAGCAAATGCACCGCATCATTCACATCCCCACCTTCAGGAGGGAGTACTCGGAATTCTGGGAGAACCCTGCCGAGTCCCGCTATGCCGCCTTCACCGCCCTTGTCTTGGCCATCATTGCGGTTGCAAACTGCATCCACACTCACGAGTCTATGAGGTTCACGGGTATGATCTCCAATGCCCAGACCACCGCCGAGAAGTACATCAAAGCCGTCGAGGAATGGCAGGACAAGCAGAGCGTGAAGCACCGAAAGCTCATCCACTACCAAATCGCATGCCTCTTGTATCTTGGCAAGCGCGTCAACACGGTCAAGAAGAAGCGCTTCTGGACGAATTCGGGAGCTCTTATCCAGGATGGAATTTCAGTTGGCCTCCACCGTGAGCCCAGCCATATGTCCGGCAAGATCTCAGTCTACAACCAGGAAATGAGGAGGAGGATATGGGCGACGGTGCAGGAATTCGACATGCAGGCCTCCTTTGACCACGGTCTGCCAACGCTTGTTAGCCAACTGCACTACGACGTGCAGCCCCCGAGGAATTTGGATGACGAGGACTTTGACGAGGACACCACTCAGCTTCCCCCCTCGAAGCACGGAAAGGAGTACACTTTCTCCTCGTACCAGAATCTTGCTCGTCAGAGTCTGCCCCTGCGCATGGAGTTGAGCAGGCTATTGTGTGGTCCACCTGGGGAAATCGACTACGATCAAGTCATTAGGTATACCAACGACATTACCCACGAGATCGACTCCTTGCCATCTTGGGAGCACAACAACAACAACACCCACGGCGGCAAGCGTCCGCTCCTCGCCTACACCCTCCTCCACGTCCAGCTCCGCCAGTACATTATTCCTCTCCACCAACCCTTCCTCAAGCTGCGAAAGTCAAACGCAAAGTACCAGTACTCCGAAATCATCTACTACAACGCCGCCCGAGACATCGTGCTCCTGCACGACAAGCTCTACGAGCAGGGCATCCGCTGCCTAAACTTCCTTCGCGAAGACACCCTCACCACCGCCGTCAACCTCTGCAGTGTCACGATGCTGCAGCCCCGCGGCTCAACCAACATGATCATGATCAACTCCCAGCACACGGTGAAGCTGCTCGAGAAATGTCTTTTGATGAAGGAAGACAGGCTGCTGCGGACCGGCAACAACGAGCCATGGGGATACTCCATTATGTGCTCATCCCTTGGCCTGCTCGAGGCCCATCTGGGCACGAAGACGACGGAGCAAGCCAAGGCGTCGTCCGCGGAACGCTTTGTCAACTTGCACTACAAGCTCCTGGCGAACCAGGAGCCGCCGGTATCGAGCCAGCAATCGGAGCTCTCCAAGATCCCCGGCCTGGAGGTCCCCGAAAGACCAAAGGTGAGCATCTTCCGCAATCAGTTCTGCACAAACGAACACTTACTGACTGAACCGCTCAAGTCCGTCACGCCCTTCTCCTTCCAGGGGTACCCGTCGTCTCACAACACGGTCGACGGACTGCTGCCTCAACCGCTACCTTGGATGTCATCGTCCATGGATCCGCAGGTGAGTCTTCACGGAGACTTCTCCCCAGCACTCGTTGCTGACAGTGTGTTGGCGGCAAAGACGCAGCAGCAGTCGTTCAATCCCGACTTTAGTCTTGAAGCTCTGGGATTGAATTTGAACGAGTTGTGGGGAGAGTCGTGGGACTTTAGCTAAGATTTGGCGCACAGTTTGATTTTTCTGATTTAATGGCCGTTTACCTGGAAAGCCAGGAAGGGATAGCCCACCAAGGGCTTGATTTCGGAGGGCGATGATCTGTTACGGATCGTGTTTACGATGTTCGGAAAGCTTGATACCCATCTCAATTCCTCTACGGGATCTAGATATGTAATAACACCATGTCGATGACTCGCAGCATTCTTTTGCACCTGCTCTTTGGGTGTTGGTCTGTTCGTTCGGAACTTTTTTGCCCAGGCACAAGCAGTTAACTTGTCGTCTTCATTTCCTCTACACGATAAAGACCTGGGCCAGCATCCACCAACGCAATTTCCCATCACCTGGTCCTGAGTCTTTTGGCCCATCCACACTGTTGGGACCCATTGAAAGAGCTCATCTGGAACCCCGGATCCGGATGCTGCCGACGACTGACTCGGGCAGATTGAAATATTGGACAAGAGGACGCCGGGGCCACGCCAGCCAACCTCTCCCCTACAGGCGACAGCCTTGACACGAACATTTTGTCTTCGGCCGAGTGACCTGAAGGCCACCCGATTGCCATGTGGACTCCAAAGCTTGTCCACAATAGCCCAAAGGAGCTTCAATAAAGACGTTTGCAGACCCCACCCCAAATACGACTCTTTCGCATATACGTAGCTGCGATATATATCTCTCGCCACATGGGGCCCCGACAAAAACGGTCCCCAAGAGCATAGCGAGCGCGCGAAACTGTTGTAAAACTAAAACGGACCCCCTTCGCTCAGCCCACGCTGCGACGCCAGAGAGGCAAACAACCCAGTTCCGTCACGACCGTCGGCCATGTTCCTCAGCGGCTGCGGTCGCGCCTGATTCGCGGGCGCATAACCTCGCCGCCAGCTGAAGCGGGATGCGTCAAGCGATCTTTCATGCTCGCCTCCCGACCGCTGTCGATGACGCAGATCAATTCAGCCATCACCCTTGCGTCGTTCCCGCGCGAGCTCGGGGAGAATGCGCAATTCGGTGAAGAAACAGACAAAAGACCGCATTTTTTTTGTTCCCAAGCTGCAACTTGCAAGCATGCGACATCCCCACACAACTCAAATCGCACCATGTCCGACGACGCATATCCGTCAGACCGCTTGGAGACCAGACAACGAGACCACGAGGAGATGCTCGGGCGGGGAACGACAGAAGTTGGATATCGAGGTTACATGGCTCCCTCACTGGCACCGGACCAAGATGCCAGATGCAGGCACATTGACAGGGATCAGCTCGGTACCTAAATGCATCTAGCAGCGAATGCTCCCCTGCCAGACGGTGACCCTTGGGCCCGACCACCCTCCTGTTTCTCCTCAATGGCCCCCAATCGCCGTGCTAAAGGCGGCAGCTGCGCAAGCTCCCTCTAGGCTGCTCACTAGAATCCCACGATATCGTCTCGGCATCCCGCCAGGGGCTTGCTCAGGCCCATATTCGACAGCGGGAAACGCTTCATTAGCACCATCGGCAAACGGCACTTGCAAACATGACCTGGCCCAATCGCGACACTTCGCCGTGCCACGGGCGGGGTCGAGAGGGCACCAATGTGACCGATTCTCAGACCCTTTTCCTCTGGGCGAGAGGAGGATGTGATGGCCTTCGGAGATGATTATTACCTAGCCTGGTGGGAAATATTGATCTGTGGTTCGTCGAGAGGGGCGTGATGGGACCCCAGCAGCGCTCTTCGAGTGTCTCGTGGATGATTTGCATGTCCTGAGAGGACGAGACAAGAAACGAAATGTGACTATAAGATATGCAAGACGACGTTGATCGGACGCAGGAACAGGCCCTTCTTGAACAACATCCAAGTTCGCTTGCCTGCTTTGCCTCACCGAGTCATTATTGCCCCCTCCCACACGTCACTCCCGTCAGCTGCAGTGGTGACAGTTTCAGAAGATCAGATAGACATATTTAGAGACGATCCCCCAGTTCGTCTCAGAGATCTTCTTATCTAATACCGCACATCCGGCAGCACCAACCCGATCCCTTCTTCACCTCAAGCTTGACTTTCGACAAGTCATCCCCAAAAGTCACAATGGCCCCTTCCGTCCTCCGCCTCGCCTCGTGGCTTGCTGCCGCCGCCAGCTTCGTCTCCGCGGCCCCCATCCAGGCCCGTGCTGTCATCGACCACGATGCCGTCGTGGGCTTCTCTGAGACCGTCCCCTCAGGCACCGTCGGTGCTCTGTACCTCAAGTACAAGCCCTACCTCAAGGTCGTGAACGGCTGCGTTCCCTTCCCTGCCGTTGACGCCGCCGGCAACACTGGGTATGCTCTCTCACTCTCATTTCACATCTCCCTCAGAACACTAACACTTCCCAGCGGCGGCCTCGCTACCTCCGGCTCTTCCAACGGGGGCTGCTCCTCCTCCACCGGCCAGGTGTACGCCCGCGGCGGCTCCTACAACGGCGCCTACGCCATCATGTACTCCTACTACATGCCCAAGGACTCCCCCTCGTCCGGCCTCGGCCACCGCCACGACTGGGAGAACACCGTCGTCTGGCTCTCCGCCGCCTCCGACTCGGCCACCGTCCTCGGCGTCGCCGTCTCCGCCCACGGCGAGTACGACACCAAGACCTCCGGCATCAGCTGGACCGACACCACGCACCCGCGCGTCGGCTACCAGAGCATCTGGCCCGTCAACCACCAGATGATCTTCACCAGCGACCAGGGCGGCCAGCAGCCCCTCATCGCCTGGGAGTCGCTCACCGACGCCGCCCGCATCGCGCTCGAGAACACCGACTTTGGCAGCGCCAACGTGCCCATGAAGGAGGCCAACTTCAACAACAACCTCGGCAAGGCTGCTTTGTAAGCCTGCCTGCCTCGCTTGGTTGTAAGGTGAATGATGGGATGATATTCTACTATTTTAATCGGGAGGCACGCGGCTACTTGGTCCGGCCTCAGGGACGACTTTCATGCACATAACTTCTTAGTATGGAGCGAGGACTGGGTTTCCTCTGACGACGGCTCCTTAATACATAACCATATTGATATCCTGAACTCGAGGCTTTATGAATTGCGATGTGTTGTGATGCGACAGGAGTGATCTGCGAACCCGAGCATACGAAGGGCACTAACACGCGGATCGTCCAGGAACAGCGCAAATCAAGGCAATCACAATCTAATCCAGTCAGACTTCCCCGAACCGTCAATCCGGCCGAGAGAGCCCGCAAACTCAATTCTCAATCGTTTGCTCTTCCAATATAAATGAGAAGAAGCTAAGACTTATTTTTTGCGGGCAGTCCCGCTAACCAGCAAAGCATAAATGACGCCCACACCACTTCAGCGCAACAGGGTGGCCGTTGCTGTTCAGCTTCTGGCAGTGCCGTTTATGCGGTTCTCCAACACACACCAAAATTCCAACCCCTCACTCGTGTCACTTGTCGCCTGCCGAACATGGCAACATACCTCCGATGCAAGCTTATTTGGAAAAGTTGGAAGATCATGGAAAAACTTATCCCATGTGATTTCAACAGCCCGATCTAAGCGCTTGAATTAGAGTGCAAATTGACCGCCGATCACTTCTCGCCACGGCACGAACTGGTACTTTACAAGAGCCTCGGGCTTGGTCCGTGGGAAGGGAACCTTTGAGGCGGGATGGGCCGTACACGAGTCACGGCACCGCGCGCATGCGCACACACGAGTCTAAAGAGAGACCGAAGATTCAATCAAAACAACACACATCCAACCGGATACGTCGGCTTCTTCAGGTAAAACAGTTTGATAAGATTCACCGGAAACTCGCATTCTGCACGTTTAAACCGGCGAGCGGGGGGCGGTCCCGTCAGAGACGAACTGGTGGTCGCCGTTGAGCTCAAGATTCGCCCACGTGCTGGATAAGGTTGCCGCTCCCTCCAAAGTGTAAGTGGGTCACTGACCCCGCATTTAGCGCGCCTGAAGGCTCTTATGCGCCATTTTCGCCAGCTTCTCCATCAACAAGAGGCCCTATGGCGCAACGGTAGCGCGTTCGACTCCAGATCCGGTCCTGCGACCGTTTCTGAGCTGATATCGAAAGGTTATCCGTTCAAATCGGGTTGGGGTCATTTCTTTTGCCTTTTGGAGCATCTGGAGATGTTTCTTGTTGATGTTTTGATGTTGCTTGATCATGTTGAGCCGTTTGTGTGAAGATTGGGCGAGTTTTGTGATTGCGGGAGAAGGCAGAAGCGAGGCAACTTGTGTGGTATAGTTTTGGAAAGCGCTCACATGCACTCCTATTCTGACAAAATCTGACAGAGCCCGTGCGTTGCTGCGTTGAGATAAGGGTGAATTTGGTCTTGGTGTGGGAGCGATCTGTCAATTTTCACTCAAATCTCACCTTGCTGTCTCACCGACGGGTAGTGCACAGATCATCGGTACAGTCGGCCCCACACCCACCGAAGACCGGCTCCGGGCCCGAAAGGCCTTCTTCCGTCGATTCCAGTGGGCTTCAATTCGGTTCACTCCCATTTGCACGCTTTTCACGACTCAGGAATTTGATGATTCTTGTTTTCCAGATACTGTCAACACCCAAACAGATGTTATGCTATATCAACGCCTTATAACAACGCCTATTAAATGCCTACGTCGTAAGACCACGTCGCGTTCTTCAAATCCGTCTCCAACAATGCTACAACTTTTTCGTATATCTCTTGCCGAAAGTCCTCATCATTCAAGTCGAGCTTCGGCCGCGCGAATTCTCCCCCGATGCATCGCTGCACGGCGCTCTTGTAATTGAGGCTATCCATCTGCCTCTCCTGCAGCAGCCTCTGCGCCGTCATGGAATCGTACATTAACCTGGGAGCCCCAGGTGGAGGTGTCTCGTACTGGATTCGAAGCGACTCAATTGTGCGTCCCAGGTTCAGCTCCAGCAGCAAGATCCCGAGCGCGAGCAGAGGAGGACAGCGACTGCTTGGTGCCGAGTTGTTCCCTTTCTGTTTGTCTTCTAGCCTTTCGTGGAGTCCTTTCATCACGAAAGCATGCTCGTATTGAAGCTCCTCCCCTCTCTTCAAGAACAAAATATCGCGGCTTGTCAGGATATCTGGAAGCCATGGCGTTTGGTGTAGTTGAAGAAAGCTGGAGGCTATCATGGCTGCCAGATGCAGCTTCGCCGACACCGGCATGTGTGGGAACTTCAGCGGGCTTTCCAGGACCTCTCTCAGTGGAATTATGGACCACTGATCGCGGTCTGAGCCAAATGTTGGGTAGACGCCGAATTCCCGGCACATCTGACCACGGCGATCTCTGATCAGCCCATAGCAATCGAAAGCGAGCTGCTTCTGACTCCGACGAATGCGTTCGCAGAGGTTGATATGATCATGTAACCCCGAATTTGAAGAGCTGATGCTCAAAGACGAAAAGGACTGCTGTACTACCATTGTCGAAGTCTGTCCAACGCAAGTTGCAGTGGCAGTGGCAGTTGCTGAGTGAGACATGGTGAAGCTGACGCTCTTGCTCTTCCCTATACTAGACATCTTTGTCTTCGAAGGCCTCACGACGGCTGTTGAAGTCTGTGCTGTTCCCCTTGGAAGAGCCTGGACGCGGATCTCCTCCCACCCCANGCTGTTGAAGTCTGTGCTGTTCCCCTTGGAAGAGCCTGGACGCGGATCTCCTCCCACCCCACCCATTCATACTGGTCCTTCTCGCCGTTTGCTTCCTTTTCAGTCTTGTCGTAAGTCAAAGCCAATCGAAAAGCGAGTTTCTGTATGACATCCTCATCTTCATCCTTCTGCGCAAGCTCGACTGAACGTGAGGCCAGACCAAGATGGACCTCGTGTGCACAGCTGCACTGGAAGCTCGACCGTAGTGCACGATATACGCTGCCCGATATCTCCCGGACAATTCTCATGAGTCGCCCTTGAGATCTCAATTTTCTCTCTGGTTCCATCTTGATGTTGCGGTCAATCAGTGACTCCAGACTTGTGATTCCATCCTTGATCGTCGTCATCTGTTCTGCATGGTCCGATCTCTTCAGAACGAACGAAGCACGCTTGAACTCTCTTATGACAAAAGTGGCTTCTTGCCATTTTATCTATGAATGAGTTAGAAATCCGAGTCTGCAACTGAGAAATGACTAACCTTGCCATCCGGTTGAAGGTCGAGTTTTTTCATCATTTCCTTAGTTGCTTCTTCCATATCTTTGACAATGTCCTCAAAAATGCTGAAGGACCTCCAAAGCCTAGCCTTGATCTTGGCTTGGATTACGTCTTCGTGCCAAGCTGGACCAAACGGATCCTCGACCATGGATTCGATCTGGCATGGCGAAACCAGCCCAACAAGAAGCTTTTCGCAAACATCCTGAAATCTAACCCGCTCGGTTTCTAGACTCAGGATCAGGATGCGGAGCTCTCGGTTGTAGTTGCGCCAAGTCCGTATCGTTGAGATGCCCTGCTTGTAGTGCTCAAGTGCCGAGATGACCAAGGGAATGGTTCCCAAGACGACGCCTGCCACCTCGAAGCCGGACATCGCGGGCGCGTCAAATTTGAACGTCCTGAGGTAATTCAGACGACGTTAGTCTCGCTACGGCGGAGTAGTGACCCCTCAGCTGAAAAGTTGGTTCAACAGTAAGCGGCAGCCTGATCCAGTCCCCTGCATGCTGACGGCTCTTGATTCGTTCATCCTGCGGGGGTTAACAATGTTCGCAAGCAACCCCCACTAACGTGATACATAATTTCACTCAGTGTTGCCGCCAATAGTTCTCTCTGTTCATATTGCTTTAATTCAATAATTTGGACCTCTTTATTTCAGAGACTAGCCCGGGGCATTAAATACTGTTGTTGACTTGTAGCTTCGGCTCGGCCAGTCGACCGAGGGCACTTAGGTCGGTTCCAGAATCATTTGACGATTTAAATAGCAGGCCATGTCTAAAATCACCCGAAGATGAACGAAGGTATCAAGGACGTGGTCTTTGAGGTGCTTGCTGGCTTCAATCGCCTTTCAAAAAGTATTCAAGAGTCCGATGACACCTCGCTTCGAGCATCACTCCCTCCGAAGATCGACGATGAGCTGGCTCGATTCAAAGTCTGGGCCGGAAATAGCGGCGCGCACCGAAATGGTCGAGCTTCTCTCGAGCACCGCCTTTGCGAAGCGTCTCATGTTCGACAACAGGTCCTAAGGCTCCTGAACGGCCTCAAGGATTCTCTCGAAGACGCGGCAGACATCATGAACGGAAAAGCCACTCCGTGGGAGGAGATGGAAGACGACGAAGAGCCCCTAGATGATCTTGAGATGGAGACAGAAATGGAACAAATTACGCTGGATATTACAGAGCTAGTCGACTGCCTCCTCCGTCTCAGTGTCTCTATCCAGAACCCGGCACCTCATGATCGCTTCATGTCTTCCACTTTTACAGACGCATCCGCGTATGAGGACTTCGATATTCAACATGTTCAAGCCAAGTTCCAAGACATTGACGAGAGCCTTGCACAGCGTCTGGGCAAAGCCATGTCTCGAAGGCGCCAGTACTTCAAGTATAGGGAGGCCCATCATCAGAAGCTTTCACACGGTTTAGACCGCCACGGGGACACAGATAAAACGGAGCCAACACTTCCCGCTCCAAGCACCCTTGCTTCATCCATACCTCTACAGATGAAGCAAGAGGCTCTCGCCGACTTTTCAGGAGACGATACTCAATCAGAGGGAAGAGCCTCAGCGACGTCTTTCGCCACGTCTGTCTCAGGCCCAAAGACACTGAAAGTTCCACCAATGCCTAAAGACGCCCTCAAAGGACCGTTCATGTGTCCCTTTTGCTATCTCATTATTTCTGTGCAAGATACTAGGGCCTGGAAGTAAGCCAACTCGTACGTTTATCTCTTGGACTACCCCGGCTCACTCACGAAACGCAGGAAACACGTGTTTCGCGATCTTCGACCTTACAACTGTCTGGCCCTGCATTGCACGGCACCAGATCGAGAGTTCTCAGGACGGAACGAGTGGATGCAACATATGTTGCAAGATCATTTAAGAGTGTATCGCTGTCCATACGGTTGTCCAGTCAACTTTCCCTCTGCAGCGGAGTCTAAAGACCATCTGCTGAGAGTCCACAATGGAGCAGTTCCTGAAAGCAAAGTCGATGGCATCGTGGAGTTGAGCTCTCACCCCCTCGCACAAGATGCTCATACGAATTGCCCATTCTGTCCGGCAAAGTTGAAGACGCTGAAGGAATATCGGCGACATGTCGGAAATCACCAACAAGACCTCGCTCTATTTGTCTTGCCCCACGCCGATTGTGATAACGATGATACTCAAGAGAGTCTCTCACGAAGCGAATCTGGTACAGGCTTGAGCGTTCGCGTTCTAGAGCGAGAAACACTCAACAAGACGTCGCTACAAGACGGTTTTGAGCACCCTGGATCTGGCTCCGGCCATATTGTTGGCGGACTCGATAATCCCATCGCAGAGCTTGGTTCTGTAAAAGCAAAGGCCAGCGATCGATTTTTCGACTTAGACGACCTTTCCAAATGCGTACAAGAAGAGGGTGGGTATGCGACAGTGACGAAGAACAACCTTTGGAATGACGTTTGTGCATCCCTCGGTGTAGACAGTGATGAAGAGACTACAGTCAAACGCACTTACGCAACGTATCTACTGGAGTATCAATATGACTTGGCAAAAGCCAAACTTCCACATGGCAAGATTCCGGAGCGATTCGATTCTGGCAAGAACGTAGAAGCACTGGTCTCTACTTCCGAGAAAAACACAGCAATACACAGGACTTCCTCGGACGTCGAGTCTTCTCACTCTATTGAGTTCTCGGGCGACATTCCCGCCGAGAATGATCAGGCATTCGCCTCTGTGGGACGCGTTACAGACATCGACACCAGCCGACAGAAAGCAAACATCGTCCGCGAGTTAGCGGTAGAGAATGGGAGAGAAGCAGAGGAAGATGAAACTATCGAGACCGGTTTCTTGGACGAAATTTACGACGCCAATATGTCGTGGGAGAGCTCTCACGACGCCCACGCCATCGACAATTCTGAGTCGAAGCAGATCGAGCCGGCCGTTCGAAACTCCCTCGACCACTCAGCGGGTGGAATCATGAGTCCTTCGTCCCTTTTCGACAGTAAGTCGACCGCCTTTGGCACAGATGTCTTGGACTACTTTGTGTCATCGGAACGGCTATCACAGGAACACGGTCAAGCTTTGGAGGGGAACCGTCCAAGTTCGGCCATGGGGATCATCACAACATCTCAATCTTTGTCTGCCTCTGCGTCGTACGACGAGCCGTCCTCGGAAGACTTTGAAGAGAAGAGTGATTCTCCCACCAACTATGAGAAACAATTCAACTCTGTAATACCGAGCTTGCAGAGACAACAGTCCTTTGACAGTGATAAAGGGAACCGGCTAGCTCAAAGAACGTTGAGAAGGGCGAGCGACGACTCGTTTGGTATCGTAATTAGCACTTCGAGGGGACTTACAGAAGACCGTTTGAAGTCTCTCAGCATTGATGCTGACCCGGGTAATAAGCGTCGAGCATCCTCTCCGCCAGATGCAGATAATGTCCCTGACTCCGCGTCCCTCAAGTCGGAGCCCGTAACGAGCGAAATTAGAGCTGGAAGCTCTCAAGTCTCATTAGCAGAGGCATTGGGTGAAGGAATAGAGGCAGACAACAAACGCACAAAAGCAAAGGTGCTCTACGATTTCACTGGAATTACACCGAACGAACTCACGGTGGAACGCAACGATCTTGTGGACATCCTGCATCAGGGTGACAAAGGTAGGATCTCATTTCATCGTTGAAATTGGTGGAAATTAACTTATTTAGGTTGGTCATTGGGGATGAACGAGAAGCAGCCGGGGCCTGCCTGGATACCTACTGCTTACGTCGAAGAGCAGACGACTGCTACAAATGAACAATCTTCTGATGAAAGCAATCACGCAGAAGAGATTCCAGAAGCCCAAGAGAAGCCAGAAAGACAGAGTCGTCCAGATATTTCCGCAGCTGAAGTCGACGAAGCTGTTTTAGAGGAGAAAATCCCGCAGCCGCCAAACTTTCAGCACACAATGACGAGACCCCCCACCTACAGAACACCATCCACTGCTGATGATGCAAAGGGTTCCAGGCCTCGAGCGCCCGTCAAGTCAGCGCATGGGCCCATATGGAGAGACGCATTGAAAAGGTTCAGCGAGGACGTTTCGCGACGAGGCCGAGGCAGAGAGCCTTTGCCAGCACAATATTCACCACAAACTTCCCTTTTTGAGGCTCCGAACGTCGACTCTCCAGCCCAGTTGAAATCGCACCTTGCAGCTGGGTTTCAGAGGCCACAACATTTCCGAGATTTTTATGATGCAGGCTCTGTTGAGCCCTTAACTGGCGAAACCCTCAAAAGGTCTCAGAGATACCATACCAGCTTCTCCAGCGATGGTGGCCGTTCCGAGAGAGATTACCGACAGAGCGCCTCGACACGGGCAACGCGACGTAGTGCTTTCGAAGACGAGAATATCACCATCAAAGTGACTGGTAGTGCAGTCCTCAAAATTGGCAGCGCCGAAATCCAGTGCCAGGATGACGGTGAAATCAATATTAATCAAGATAGCAGCCCTGGTCGTAGCGGAAGCATTATCGCTGAACCAAGCCGTTCTGATCGTGGTGAAAGTCCACCGATCCGAAGGGTAGCACGGCCGTTGCCTGTCCGGGACCGCGGAGATTCACGGGATGGTCGTAACCAGGACGGTGAAGATGAATACGTGCCTCGGGGCAGGCCACCCTTCTTTTAGTCAGAAATAAGTACAAATACCGGGGCCCCAATATCAATGATTCAAATGAAGCCTGTCATGTGAACGAACGGATTGCGGTTCAGCTTCTCGAAGAGGCAAATATTTAGAACATACCAGTGTGCAGAACCGCTCAAGAGAAAATTGACTGCCAAATATCACCGAGAAATCACTCAAACTTATAGGGCCTCGACCCAACGGAAGCCGATTTCCTCCCAAATTTAAGAGAATGGCTAAATTAGGACGCAGATATTTGAACGAAAGGCAAGATAACTTGAAACTAACAAGATAGGTTGAAGCATAGCATTACAATATCGGCCATTGAGGGCTTTCCTAGCGACGAATTTACGGCACCCACAAACGCAGTGGACGAGAATATAGAGGATGCGTCTGAGAAGATGCGCAACTTATAAAAGAAAGTTTCAGAGGAGGGAATTACACGGGGAGAGGCTCAAGTCTGTTGCTCAATATTCAGAGAATGAACCAACCGCTGATCACTGCCCAACAACGAAGATGTTCTCGAGTTTCCTGATACAGAGATCTCGGCCACTGCATACCCACATGATGATCAAGCTCTACAGCGGCCTTCAGCTTCAAGAATCTTGGATGATCTGCTTGTACGGAGACGCCCACGAGAACTACCAAGAAGCAGTGTGGGATTCTGGCGCGCCAGCTGGTGGAGAGTGGCAGCCCCTGGTAAGAGATGGTCAGGGATCCCCTTTATCAAACAACTCCAATATTTGAGTCGAATAAGGTTTCCAGCATCCTACACATCAATCTCACATTCGCTACGATCCATCGTCATGGACGAATTAGCCAGAAAGTTGGATGGGAAACTGACGTTAGAAGACGTCCCTGAGAGCGATTCCAAGTCTCAGTCAGGTCCTGTAAGGCAACAACCGGACTCTGGGAGACCCTACCACCTTTCGGGTCTCGATGCTGCGCCGGAAGAGGCCATTCCGTAAACCGAGGCGAATTCATCACCTCAAAAACCACAGCAAATGTTCTCTTTCACTTTTGACGGAGGCAGTCTTCGAACGGCCGCCAGCCCGGGGCGATCCACGGGAGACAAGGCGCTCAATCCAAGTGCCCCTGTCTGGACACCTTCACCCTCAACGACGAAAGAGCAGCCCTTGCCTATTCGTTTTCGAGAGGGGCCTTCACGGCAGACGTCCCGCTCTGAGGAAACACTCAAACACGAAAAATGTGTACAGCGTTCTGTTGGGAACGAGGCACATAACGGTGCGGAAACGCAGATGAAGGCCACCTCGAGTGAACCCAGGGCCGTGAACGCCAAGGCCGACCGCCAATCACAAACACTATGCCGGAACGTGGTGATGTACGGCCACTGCCGAAACGAAGGAGTCGGTTGCGGCTTCAAGCATCCTTAAAAGAGATCAGGTGCGAGACCAAAAAGGGCGAGAACCACCACGAAGAGGCTCTGGGATCTTGAATGATTAGCTGCCTTTCGTTGCTCAAGCAAACAATTGGACATCTAGAGGGGGAGACGGCGCATATTCACTTTCAAGACGGATAAATCGGGTAGACCAATATATACTTTTTCATTATACCTCCTCCCACACATCCACGAAAAAGCTACAGGGAACGACTGCTACCAAGATGCCACCCGACGCCACCCCAGTAGCTTTGCCATGCAAAACAGGTGATGATAAAATAAAAAGATGAAAGACACCAGTATAAAAAAAAAAGTGAAGTTTTTGTGGCTTGAAGAAAGACTCAACAGCAACTACATCAAAAAAGGGGTATGTCATTACGGGGGGAGGAGTGTATTACATCGAGGTGGCAAGTGCGTGCGCTATGTGACCAAGATATTGCTGAAAGCGTCCGAGATCTCACTCGGGGTCGGGGCTTGGAACTTTTCTTGCGTGTATCCAGCGGCGAGGCGCTCCTGCATCAACTTCAGCAGAGCTGCGGGGACGCTCTCGTCGGTGGCTCGGATGGTGAGACGGATCATCTACACTTTATTAGTAACAGCGGTGAGAGGGAATGCAGAGGGGGACAAACCTGAGTTCCGTAGTTCGGCTCCAGGCGCATCAGGCAACCAAACTTGCCAGACTCAGAGGTGTGCAATACACTAGCGCCGACGAAGTTCTTCGCGTTGGGGTCAACGCCATCCAGGATGCGCCATCTGAAGCCTTCGACCGTCTGCCTGATGAAGAACTCATTGATCGATCTGTCACCTTTACCGGGCGACAAGCCAAAGATGCCCTGAGCCTCACGGGGCGCACCGCCAATCTGCTTCCAGCGCTTGAAGAAGTCTTCGGCGGTAAGATCGGCGGGATCCATAAACTTGTGGGCAGAGAGGGGCAGTTTGAGGGTGACAGCCTGCAGGGCACCGGCGAGGTAGCTGATACGTATCGTAGGGCTCTTGTCGAATACTTTCTTGCACTCAAACATGATGACCTGCTGAGATTGTCCAGCCTGATAGATTGTGCTTTCCGGCAGGTTCTTCACGTCCCACGTAAGTTTGCCCTTTTCCGCTTCGTCGAGGTCCAGTGTTGTCGTGAAAGAGCTTAGGGCTGTGGGGATCTTGTTCTTGAAGTAAAGAATGAGACAAGCCATCTGGCCTCTGTACTCGGACCGCACTCCAATCTGGATCTGACCATCCTCGTATAAGACGCCCTCACCCTTGAGGAGCAGCTTGTTGTATCCGACCTCCCAATTGGGAGACAAGTGAGCTGCACTTGCCAGGTTAGGGGTCTTCGTCTTCGGCTCTGCAGGACCGATGTTCAACATGTCGATGCCGGCCAAGTCGGTGGCACCGTTGCCATGTCCATTCGTGCCGTTGGCGCCGTTTGCTGGGGGGTTGCCGTTGGTGCTGAAGGTCCGCTTAAGACCACCGTCTTTGGCCATCTTGAGCTCTGCTACGTCCGCATTGGCATCCTTGCCGCCCACAACCCAAGTTCTCTTATCACTGGTGTTGGCATGCTTCTGATGCACTCTAGCAAGCAGTGCAGACTGTCTCTCGGGGAATGGCGGCATCTCGTCGCATACGGTCCGGAGCAGGTCGTCGGTCGGCATCGTCGCTAGTGTCAAATACTCGCACGCTCTTTGCTGGAGCTCAGAGTCGAGAGTGTGGCTGAACACCTGGAAGGCCTTCAGGAGTTGGGGCTTGATTTCGGGGAAGAGGTTGACATATTTGACGTAGCAAGATAGGATCATGGCCCGTGTACTTGACGAGCAAGCGGCAACCTTGCTTTGGAGAGCCATGAATTGCTCAATTGGGCTGCACTTGGGCTGGTCTGCGATGAGATGACCAAACTCTCCCAAGATGTATGCCCCAATCTTGACCAGCGTCTCGTGGCAGTGATCGGATTTAACGTAATGCAGGGAGTGCTGGGCCGCGTAAACTTGCAACTCCTCGTTATTCGTCACAATTTGGATGACACGCTGCCACACCTCATCGCTTACGTGATCGCCAGCCATGGCGATCAGACGAAGTGAGATGTCCACGTACCACTGAACATCGGTGGCGTATCGCTCGGTCAGAATGGCAATCTTGAGCACCATTTCCTCGCGGATCGCGAAGTCGGCGTTCTGAAGGTAGTGCAGCAGCTCGCCGACAATGACCTGGGCGTTTGACGAGTCGCACATGCTGTAAAGGAGGTCGAGACCTTTCCTCCGCACACTGATATCCCTGTCCTTGAGAGACCCGATGATGACATCTTGGTGCTGCTTGATGGGCTCCAGGGTGTCGATGCGGGCCGCCAGATGCGTCATCGCCTCCAATCCCAAGTAGCGAACGTTCGTCTCTCTTGAGGTCAGGAAGCGGCCGAGGCGAGATGAGATTTGCTTAAGCAGCGCATTCTCATTGTCCAGGTGAATAATCAAGTTGATGGCCTCGAATAGAACGGCGTTTTGGGCGTTGTTCTGCTGCACGTTCTTGGTCTGCTCCAGTGCGAGGTTCAGGATCTTCTGCAGCGACTCACGGATCATGTCCCGGACGTGTGTGTCGTCTGCTACAGTCAGCACGTCTCACACCTGACTCGAAACCAAGCGACTCACCTGAGGGAGGGAAGTACTGCAGCAAACGCAGAAGCTTAACCTGGATCCACGGGCACGGGACCTTGTAGTAGAGGTAATCGGGCGTGTACTCCCCGTCAATCAGTATCCTCTTCAACCTCGCAGCAGCCTTCGCATATGCGCCCTTGTACTGGTTGAGGTTGTCCTGGGCAAGTGTCATGACGAGTGATGTGACTGACAACGCCACACCAATGTCCACGTCGTCCATCAGAGAGATGATGCGCTCGGCCCATTGCGGCTGGACGATGTCGGGGTTCTTGCGGTACAGTCGGAGGAGGGTCAGCGAGGCCTTCTTCTTGACGAATGCCTTAGATGTCCTGCGTCTCGTTAGCTAGAGCTCTCAATCGTAGTACGGCTGCACATACGGCGAGATCAAAAGCCTGTGAACCTCTCCACTCAGAGCCTCTCCCATTTCCCTGCCACCAACGTTGGCAATCGCGTGGAGAGCCAGGCAGTTGAACAACTCGTTGTGATCCAGCAAGTCCTTTCGTATACTGTTGACGACCAGGTGCAGCAGCTCGTGCTTCTCGTGCAGGAAGAGGGTCATGGCCAGGTAACCAATCTGCTTCTCCGAGTACTTGTTCGCCGAGATGAGGTTGACCGCCTCGAGGTGGCCGAAATCGACGTTCCATCCGAGAATGTAAATGTAGAGGAGCTTCGCAATCCGTCAGCGCAAACGCCTTGCCAAACACCGGAGGACCGTCCGTACCTTGCACACGTATTTCTTCTTGTGGTATCCGCTGAGGTTTCCATCTGCTCTGTCGTTAGTGCCACTATACCACGCCGCCCGTACGCAATCGGTTCTCACCCTTGAACTTTTGACTTCAAGCCAGCTCTGTCAGCAAACCATTACGAGACCGCCATCTCCGGACGCGGGGCACACTCACCGAATGTTGGCCAGCTCCTTGTTGATACGCTTTTCTTCCAATTCCCTCGCTCTTGCGTTTCTCAAATCGGCAATGAACTGCACCAGGCCTCGCATGTTGGAGTTGTTGCTCGTCGAGCGGCCGAGAAAGCCGCTGCCTCCGGACGACATGGCTGCGGTTGGTGTCGGGTTCGTCGGGGAGTTCCAATCCTATCTGCTCTCTCTCTCCTCGCGTCTTGCCGATGGGTCGGGAAGTTCGTCAGCCGGACTGGCGTCGTCGGTGTCGCCACGTCGCGGGCTTGAGCGCGGTCTGAACTCGGTGCTCGGAGGGCGGGGATGATGTTCCTCTCTCTTCGTTTCGATGAGGGAACGATTCGTTTACTGCTATGCTCTTCGACGAGCGTGGGGGCGATCACTCCATGCGCGCGAGGAGGTTGTCGAGGTTCTGATCGGGCACCCAGCAGCTTTCGCGTGGCGGCGTGGGCGGCTTTTTGGGTGGGAAACTGATCGGTCGGTTGGACGGTGGACTCGGGCAAATCGAACTCGAAACCGGCCGGCAAGTGCCGCTTAACAATGCGTTTCCCCGTTGGCGTGTGGGAATGTGAGAACTGAACGCGGTGTCTATTTCTTTTTTCCCTCTTCTTGTCGACTCGACCGCAGCGTTGGTGAGCTTCTGACGATTGGTTCAAGAAGCCAGGCAGTTATGTCGACTCCCGACGTTGCACTGAGAAAGTGAAATTCCAAAAGAGCGAAAAAGCAGCAGCAAGACCAGGGAAAGGGGTTCGAGGGGGGGCGTGTGGGTGAGAAGAGGGACCCGCGGCGGGAAACGACACTTTAGAGCAAGACAGTGGAGGCCCCGGAAGGCTTGGGACAGAGGACCAGTGGAATACTTAGTGTTCCGTCTACTTTCGGGCTGTGTGGAGATGGGCAGCGTCCAGTCCGGGACAACAACAGCAACTGTATCTGTAGGTAGGCACGTCTATCTGGTCCGCCTGTCAAAAGAACTCACGGGCACTAAGCCGCTGCAAGGTCAACGTCAGAGCTGCCGCCAGCCTTCAGGTGCCGTATATGTGCCTTCCACGCCGTAGAGCACCCTGTGTGAGATGCAGGTAGTTTGCTTGTTGCTTGAAGACTGGGCGCGTCAGGGGTTGCAAGGTACTTCCCCCGAGCGCCGGGCAGTGTAGGGCGCGTGCTCTCTAAAACGGTAACCTGTCCACCCCGGCGATGGTGCTGCTTTCCGAGGCCAAACCAATTTCGCAGCACGAGGACGGGACGGGCGGCCTGTGCAGCAGCCCTGGCCTGGGCGGAACGTGGAGGGGAGCTGCCGTCGTCGCCCTCGTTGTTGTAGGGGACTGCTCGGCGTGTGCCACTGCAAACAGTCAGCCTATCACACACCCCGTCATTGTAGTGACACAAGTGCAGGCAGCTCATGCCAGGTACGTACCCTCAACACGCTAAACGACGTTACTCTGCCGTCCTGCATCATCGAAGTCCCAAAATTCCCATTGGAAAGCTACGGCGGCGGCAAGCTTCCCCTCGTACTGATCTAAAAGAAGAAAAACCTTCTTTTTTTGCCAATTCCTCGCTCCCACAGACCTTCTCTGCCTTCTCCGCAGCTGAGGTACTGACACGTCAACACACTCACATCCTCCATGTCCGCCAGAAATGCATTGCGCCGCCCAATGAACCACACATTCAAACGCCTGTGCCTCGCGGCCCCGAACCCCCGGCTTCCTACCGGCGCCGTCTCCGGGCTCCTCCGGGGAGGCCCTGCCGCTGTCTCTCGCCGGTCAGCCTTCACAGCCGCCGGCGCTCCGACGTTCCAGGTCTTCAACCGCCGCACAAAATGGCTGCAGAAGGAGCGCGCTGCCTCAAATCCCGAGGCCAGCAGACAGGCTGACTACCTCAAAGACGAAGTCGCCTCACGTCTATGCGAGAGGCTACTCGTAAAGCTACCTTCCATATGGCTCCAATGGACACACACTAACACCAATGTCACTACCAGGACATCAAACGCTCCTTCCCCCGTGTCCTCGACCTCGGCGCAAACTCCTGCAACATAGCCCGCGCCCTCACCCGCGAGAACCCGGACCCGGACCCCACGAAACCAATCTCCCCGCCCCTCGCCACCCGCATCGAGGAGCTCGTCGCCGCCGAGTCCTCCCACTCCCTCCTCCACCGCGACGCCGACCTCCCCTTCAACGCCGACATCAACATCTCCCGCCAGGTCCTCGTCGACGAGGAGCACGTCCCCTTCGAGCCCGCCTCCTTCGACCTCGTCCTCAGCTCCCTCAGCCTCCACTGGATCAACGACCTCCCCGGCGTCCTCACCCAGATCAACAACGTCCTCAAGCCCGACTCCCCCTTCATCGGCGCCATGCTCGGCGGCGACAGCCTCTTCGAGCTGCGCACCTCCCTCCAGCTCGCAGAGCAGGAGCGCCGCGGCGGCATATCCCCCCACGTCTCGCCCCTGGCAGATGTCCGCGACGTCGGCGGCCTCATGCAGCGCGCCGGGTTCAAGATGCTCACCGTCGATGTCGACGACATCATCGTCGACTACCCAGACACCTTTGCCCTGATGCAGGACCTGCAGGCCATGGGTGAGGGTAACGCCATCCTCGGCCGCGAGATGGGCGCCATCAGGAGGGATGTGCTGTTGGCGAACGAGGGCATCTACAGGGAGCTGCACGGCAACGAAGACGGCAGCATCCCCGCTACATTCAGAGTCATCTACATGATCGGGTGGCACGAGGGCGGCGAGCAGCCCAAGCCCCTGCCCAGAGGATCCGGAGAGATCAACCTCAAGGACGTGCTCGAGTCCAGCTAGACACTCCCAGATTCGTTGTAACAAATAATGTAAAAACAAATTCGTAAAAAACGAACAAAATCTATGGCTTTCATTGTCGGCACGCCCAATCTGTCTACCACTTTTGACCAAAGGCCCATGCTCGCTCGTCATGAACGTCATTATCCCCACACAGACACTACCTCAACACCCCCCTTAAACCCGTCTCCAATCCGTCATGACACGACCGATAGATCCCAGCCCAGCAACATCGACAACCTTCTCGTGCCAGCTAAGCAGCACGCTCATCGCGCTGCCTACGTTCTCGTTCGTGCCGCCGGGCCGTCCGCCAATCTGGCTGAACCCGCCGGGCGCGGCCTGCGGCGGCGGCGACCTCAGCCCCGACGAACCACCCGCGGAGCCTGCCATGCCCTTGTAGATGTACTTCATGAGGACGTCGAGCAGCTCGGGGCCGCCGGGGGATCCGTAGATGGACTTGAGCAGGGGCGTCATCTCGGAGGCCTTAATGGACTGGAGGACCTCGGTGATGGTCTGGAGGTGGGCGTCCTGTGATACACGCAACTGTTTAGCAACCTTGACAAACATGCCATGCCAGCGAGATTCGAATAAAGCCTACCTTGGCGGCGTCGGCGCCATTGTACACCGGAAACTCCAAGCATCCCCTCAACGCACCCTCAGCATCACCGCCCCTCAACAGCTGCCTGACCTGCCCAGCCAGCCCGCGAACCTCGGACTCGTCGATCTCGGGCTGGGGCGGGTGCAGCGTGGAGGTATCAAAGTTGTGCGGCGAGTCCTCCTGCAGGGCGTCGATGTTGATGGTGCGCCAGGCGTCGCTGAGCGTAGCAGACGTGTGCTGCTGGATGATGGACATTGTGGCGGCGAGCTCGATGGATTGGAAGCTTCGAAGTGTCCTGGCGGTGGGTAATGTGGCAGGATTAGAGTGATCGTGTCACAAGACTAGCTTTATCGGAAGTCTGCCGTTGTCGTCGCTCTCTCTGTGGAATTGGCGGTCGGCGTGTCGTGGGTTTGACGGGGAATCGTGCCTTGCGTAAGGTCGAGGTGAGGTAAGGTAGCCGCAGCCGATGGTGGGGAGTTGGCTTGGACATGGTGTGGAGGGTGTGGGGTTCGACGAGGCGGTGCGGCTGGTTGACGAAGTTGGTCCGTGCGGTATATGAATCCACGGCCAATATCAAAGCCCGCTGCAGATCAGCTTCCAGTGCATGTGCGCCGCATAAAGACATCCCCGTCGTAGCGAGAGATCACAACCTTGGGCAGCCCATTTAGATCAACTAATTATATTTAATTCCAAAGCAAACATGACAAACATTGCACTTGAACCGCGACATGATAGGAACTACTAATTGCATGCCACTGTCTAGGACCAAAAGTCGCCCACACTCTCGGGCCCCTCATACGTATACACAAGAGGAGGCCGACGATCCCTCCGCTGTCGGCCCTCGAGGATATCATGCCACCGCACGCACGGCGTCTTCCGCTTATGCTTATGCGTCAATCAGGTTCTCCTCGTTCTGCTGCACCTGCTGCCTCTGCTTGCCCTTGTCCTTGGCCTCCTTCGCCGCACGCTGGTAGAACTCGTTGAGGACCTTTCCGGGAATACGGTTGAGCAACTCCTTGGGGTAGAGACGGAGCAAGCTCCACGCGAGGTCGAGAGACTCGAAAATGCTACGCGACTCGTACTGGCCCTGGTTGATGAACTGGCGCTCGAACTTCTCGAGGAACTCGAGGGAGAGCTTGTCCTCGGCAGACAGAGCCTCCTCACCGACGACAGCCTTCATGGCAGCGGCGTCACGACCGATGGCGTACTTGGCGTACAGCTGGTTGGAAACATCACCGTGGTCCTTGCGGGTCATGCCTTCACCGATGGCAGACTTCATGAGACGAGAGAGCGACGGCAGGACGTTGATGGGCGGGTAGATACCACGGTTGTACAGACCTCTGTCGACGAAAATCTGGCCCTCCGTGATGTAGCCCGTCAAATCGGGAATGGGGTGAGTGATATCCTCGTTGGGCATGGTCAAAATAGGGACCTGGGTGATGGATCCGTTGCGACCAGCCACACGACCGGCTCGCTCGTAAATGGTGGACAAATCAGTGTACATGTAACCGGGGTAACCACGGCGACCCGGGACTTCTTCACGTGCGGCAGAAACCTCACGCAGAGCGTCGCAGTAGGCCGACAGATCGGTCAGAATAACGAGGACGTGCTTCTCGAGCTGGTAGGCGTAGTATTCGGCGGTAGTAAGGGCCAGACGGGGAGTAATAATACGCTCGATACTGCGGGCTGTCAGTCAAATGTCTTCCAGAGCATCTCGAGTTGGCTCACGTAGGATCGTTGGCAAGGTTGAGGAAAAGAGTGACACGCTCCAAGGAACCGTTCTCCTCGAAATCGCGGGTGAAGAATCTGGCAGTCTCCAAGTTGACACCCATGGCGCCGAAAACGATGGAGAAGTTCTCCTCGTGGCCGTCGTGAACACCCTTGTTGGTGACACCCTTCTGCTGGACGAGACCAGCCTGTCGGCAAATCTGGGCGGCGATTTCGTTGTGCGGCAGACCAGACGAAGAGAAGATGGGAATCTTTTGGCCACGAGCGATGGAGTTCATGGTGTCGATAGCAGAGATACCGGTCGAAATCATTTCTTCGGGGTATTCCTAGCTGTCGTTAGCATTCCGAAAGCGACCGTGGCTTGGGGTTGCAACATACACGAGAGAAGGGGTTGATGGGACTGCCGTTGATGTCGAGGTAGTCCTCGGCGAGGACCTTGGGGCCCTTGTCGATAGCTCGTCCGGAACCATCGAAGATACGGCCAAGCATGTCCTCCGACACACCGAGCTTCAAGCTCTCGCCCGTGAACTCGACTTTCGTCTGTCGTCTATTTAGCGCACGTCACCCAGCGTAGAGATGGCGATGATCTCATACCTTCTTAACATCGATGCCTGACGTTCCCTCAAAGACCTATTTCCATCGTCAATCGGTGTTATTCGAACGATCGATTCGCTTCGCATACCTGAACAACGGCTCGGTCACCTATGGATATTGTCAGCACACGGGTCGAGTTGGATGCGGGTTGGATGGGTAAATACCTCGAGCCTCGAGGACCTGGCCCTGTCTGTTGGTTCCATCGGGAAGGGTCAGGGAGACAATCTCGTTGTATCTGGGGAATTTGACCTGCGTTCAAGTCAGCGCCCGTATTCGACAGTATTCTTCCGCGAAGTCGCAGCCTGGGGGGCGACACGCACATTCTCGAGAATGACGAGGGGTCCGTTGACACCGCCGACGGTGTTGTACCGAATTCTCGGCACAATCGAGTAGGAGGGCTCGCGCGGGTCACTCATTGCGTCGACAGTCAATGAGACAGCGCCCGATTGTAAGAAATGTGCGGATGGAGGGGACGAGAGGGTCGATAGGAAGGGCGTGGTCGGGCGGATGGTTGAGCGACGGTTGGTGATGCACCGGTAAGGTAGCTGAAGGAGGTTGGCAGGCGAGTGTCGTCTACAGCGATGCACTGGACTGGAGCTTGCTTCGTCTCGGTGGAGCCTGTTCGGCAAGCTGGTCACAGTGGCGCCGATAAGATCCCTGGTGCAGGCCAGCGCGCGGGCCTGGAGCTCCCAGTGTCAGCATGAACTTTGGGCGCTGAGGTGCATTGTGGCAGTGACATCACATGACTGGCACCTGGCTCCCCCCGCCTGCTGCCCGTTCCAATGGGTGTCTGCAAACGGATGAAGCAAGCGTCAATGGATGCATTCCAGCGCAAGTAGGAAACATGGCCAGGCATGTACTGCTTTGAACTAGGTAATCGAATTGGAATCGCTTGACTACAAATTAAGCGGCCGACGCCTCACGGGCTCTGGCTCCCAACACTGCCTTTCCAACGGTGCTGTCGTTGGACTTGCTCAGCTCCCCCGTGATCCACGCGCCAATATCAGACATGGCGTCCAGATCGATGCCAGTCTCCATTCCCAGACTCTCGATGAAGTAAATCATGTTCTCCGTAGCCACGTTGCCAGTCGCACCAGGGCTGTAAGGGCACCCGCCAAGTCCACCAACACTGCTGTCAAAGGTGCGAATGCCATGCTCCAGGGATATAGCGGTGTTGACCAGCGCCTGGCCGTACGTATCGTGAAAGTGCATCGCAATATCCTCGTTCCTGATACCCGCCGACCGCATGCAGCTCAGGAGCTCCTTCGTCCGCGGCGCGGTTCCCATACCGGTAGTGTCGCCCAGTGAGATCTCGTCGGCACCAGACTCGAGCAGGTCCGTCGCAATCTCGGCAACCTTGTGAGGGTCCACATCGTAGCCCTCGAACGGGCAGCCGAGGACGACCGAGACGTAGGCGCGGACGCGGAGGCCGGCAGCCTTTGCGTCGCGGATCACCTCACGGAAGCGGTCCAGCGACGTCGCAATGTCGCAGTTCAAGTTCTTCTTGGAGAACGACTCGGTAGCAGCCGCAAAGACCGCGACCTCGACCGCCGGTGTCGACGCATCGGCCGAGGGCTGGAGCTGCGAAGCGAAGGCGCCGGGATACTTGGCCAGCAGCGCCTGGGCGTTCTGCAGGCCTTTGATATTCGGTGCGAGGAAGGAGTACGATATTTGAGAGGGCGAAGAGATCTTTTTTGTGAGAATGTGCTCGAGGATATCGTTCGAATTGGCCATCTGCAGGCATCCGGCGTTAGCAAGGAAGCTCTAGCTGTGAGTACGATCAGGCCATGTCAAGAGCTCACCTGGGGAACCCATTTGGGTGCGACAAAAGAGCCACCCTCAATCGTCGACAGTCCGGTCCTCGCGAGCTTCTCGATCAGCTCGATTTTAGTGGCGAGAGGAATTGTCTTCTTCTCGTTCTGCAGGCCATCGCGTGGGCCGACCTCGACGAGCTTGACATAGTTGTCGCGGGGAGGCTGCTGGATCGGACCGGTAGCGGTCGCAAATGTTCGCACAGGGCGGAGCTGCGTCCTCCTGCACGCCCGACAGACTGCTGGACGGATGGAAAACATTTTGGGAGTTGAATTGTCGTCAAGAGCCAACGAGGGGTCGATCGGCAACAAGTCACAAAGCGACTCCAAGAGCTGGGGCCCAGGAGCTTGGCCGCATATCGTCGGCTTCCATCAGACTTCGATGGACCTCGGTATGATCCAGGTGGCACCGCCTGGCACCACTCGCTGCGAATCAACTGCATCCCTGCGCCATCCCGGACCGACTCCCGCAACTCCATCAACGCTGTTGACCCATATTTCTCTCGATAGCTTCATCAAGCTCACCACAGCACACAACGCTCGGGGATGAGACCATTTGCCCATCCTTTGAATATCCAACATTCACGGTCTTGAAAACTTCGACCACCGAACAAACTCGCTTCAATTTGCATGAAATAGCTTTGGAACTTCTGCCCTGGCTAGCGTGCTGCACAATTCAACCACCCTCAGGGTGCAGCCGGACGGCACAGCAAACGGAGCTGGGTACAGATTGAAACAAGAACGACTTACCTTTTTTTTCCCGGAACTTGATGGCAACAGGGCTCTGTTCTGGCTTAACCACTATTCTTTCTTTCGGTGGCTCGTTCCCTTGATATCGGATCTTCTATCGCTCACTGATGGTCAACAGGTAGCGTAGCCTTTGAGTAACACAATTTAGACGGCCACTTTGCTCTATTCAGACGATTCTCTTCGTCTGATCGTGGCCTCCGCATCGTCAGATCGAGAAGTCAGCCTCTCATTAACCCCTTTTGCTTTCTGCCTTCTTTCTCACCATGAGTGAGCTAGCAAGTGCGCAACCTATGACACATGCGAGCACATTAAGTGTCATTCCAGGGTTATCTGGGCCTTAGAAACCGGTAATCACCTCTTTAAATGCACTCTGTGCTACAAAGGGCCTCATCGCACCGTGGCTATAAGTCATTTTTGGGTGGAAGGTAACGGATGTAGGCTGATGAAGATCCAGATCATATCTGTCCTGGACAAACTCCGTATTGCTTGCGCAGTCGCTAGAAGAAGTTTATGCTGGCCAGAGTCAAAAAGTTAATCCAGCTCAGCCGTTCAAACGACGGGCCAGTATGTGCTCTTTCCTCTCAATTTACAATCGCTGTCCGTCGACCAGGAGTCAGCAAAAAGAATTTCGGAAAAGCAACAAAGGAAGACATTAAAAAAAAAAGGTCAAAAAGTTCGGATCGAAACCAGGGCCCTGGTCTCAATCCTATGAAAACCCAACATAGGATTTTGCACTTAGAGATTGACGTGTTCAGCCATGCACGCCCAGTAACTGCGAGCTAGTTATCTGGGATTCGGAAGGCAAAGCGACTCACTCCTTGATAAACCATACAGTGAGCTGAGCAAGTTGACAAGGTGCCTCCGCCAGGGATTGTCTGAGCCGTCGTCTGCTCTACCGAGGTACCACCTCTTCACCCAGCAGCTTGTCAGGTACCTGCCCTGGTATTGCAGCTACCGATACCAGTACCTTTCATCGCCAAACGATGGCCATATATGGTGCAGCTACGCCGATTCCGAGGCCGAGTATCCCCGACGGGGGGCTGGTACTTTGGCTGTGCCATTTAGGCTTGGTGTAGCTGCCATTCTGGAAGCATTGGTTTCTGCATAGGTCGTTCTTTTGCAACACAGGATCCATTCCCTAAGCACAGAATTTGATGATATTTGGATATCCATTGATCAGTAACCTAAGTTGCAGCACGATATACAAAGATGATGTCTTCCTGTAAGCACCTCCTGCTATCATCATGGAGTTCGGTGGCTCTTCTGGGGAGTCAGGCCTACAGCAGCAAAACTATCGACCATCTAGTTTCTCAGGCAAAGGCATTTCTCAATCACTTCACCACGTCTGCTAGGTACCTAGGTATGGTACTGAAATCTTGTAGCAAACCTCGAGAATGCCACTCCATACGAAGTACCTGGAGCGCTGCTATGTGCTGGGGTCTACGGTTCAGCTTTGTCAGACATCTCTAGAAAGTTCCCAAGTCTTTCGATGAGTAAGAACAAATTCTCACCCATGCATAGAGTTCAGAGCGGTGAAGGCCAAGTGAAGATGGTGGAAGTTCTCGGAAAGAACCGTACGCAGCAGGTACTTGCCCGGTCCACCTTCCCTCTCGAGAGGCCACCATACTTTGCTGGATAGCGAATCTTTAGCGTATCGACCTTGGTGCCAAACCGATTGGCGAGCAGCAAGGTCTTTCTTGTGTCCTCTGACTGACTGTTGGTGTGCCGTTGGGAAGGGGCCACGATGAAGCCAGGAAGGGGCGAGATTTTCGGGAATGAAGAAGCCACGGCTTCTCTGACCACAATATCCAGGTACCTCAAGTGGATGATACACTTCCAGCAACGGCTCAGGAGCCATTGGTTTCCAACTGTCGAGCAAGATGGGAGCAGTCGTGGTTCACTGCGCACCATCGCGGTGCCTCCAATTGACCTTTGTGGTACAACGCACACTTGGAAGAAAGGAAGGGTGTGCGCAGGGTGTGCGCCAAACTGAGGCAAGGTACACTGTGCAGAAGCGAACGGGTGGGGTGGGGTGTAAGTGAAGGGGCGTGTCGGAGAAACTCGACAGGCAGGAGGGTGGGCGAGAGGAAGGGATGAGCGAGAGGAAGGGTTGGGCGAGAGGAGGGGGGGGCTGCGAAAGGGGACGTGTGAGGAGCTGCCACGATAGACTCAAATTCATAAGGGTGAGTGAGATGGGCAGAAAGATTGGGTGAGATGAATGAAAACCAGTTTCCAGGTGAATTTGGGGGCTGCGTCTAGTTGTTGTTTTCTCTCGGGGCGTGGACGATTCCCAAGCAAAGAGTAGGGGCAATGGCGAGTGAGTGGCCCGTCGTTGTGGTGAGATAAGAATGCGCGAGAAAGAAAACTTCAGGCCGAAGAGGGAGGATAATATCGTCAGCTTCAACTACTAGAGGGACACTACAATACTCGCAGCTTCGCGATCGCCTCACGTGGCAGCTGAGAGAGAACGTGGGCCCCGGACCAGGCAGCCGCGCAAGGTGAGGGCACAACACAAAGAATCGCGTCAACCACGACCACAACGGATCATACGGACTACAGCAAAAGCAGAACCCGGGGGGATATAGATCAACGCAGGACCAACTCTTTCGTCAGCGGCCAAGGGACGCCTTGGCCGCTGGCACAGTGGTATGAGGTCTAGGATCAAGGAGGGTGGTGTGGAGGATATGGGTTCGAGCCTACGCGACGACAGGCAAAAACTACCGATCGATCGAAAATTCCCGGCATGTGCACCAGAGATTAGCCCACACCGGTGGGTGAACTCTTTTGCCATTTTGACCTTTGATATTGCTATCGCATTTCATTTCGTTTCGCGGCAATTGAGTCTGAGATATACTGCGTTAGATATATTATTTATGCTGATATCTAACTGGGTGTGAGCGTCACTTGTGTTGTGATATCCACCCCTGAATGTCAATTATCGTGATCGCATCCTATATAAACGGACACTGGCTCACTGAAGCTCCAATTCCTTTAATAACACGAGAACGTCGATAGCAACAAATGATACCAGCGACACATACACAACGTCGGTTTGTCAATTGGATGGATCGCTTAACTTGGTTGGGCTGCGACTCCTTGGATCCTTCGTTCGCATCGACCCAACGCAGGCGTTGCAAATGACGGCCGTCCAGACGCTTGCCATCAAGATGTAATCAATGCGAATATCAAAATTATCGATATCCTGCTCTCTTTTGAAAGACACTCGTGGTCAAGCTAGCATGATATGAACGCCCCCTGAGAGTCTGCAGACACCCAGCCATCGTTCAACAGCCGTCATGCCCATTCCTTGATCGCGACCGACGCATATTCTACCTTGTCCTTGTCATGTTCACTATCTGTCTACTAATATCATATTTCTCGGTCTCTCTTCTCAGTCTCGAAAGGTAGCGAAGGGGAGAGGGCGCCCCGTCTCCGGTAGCGCAGCACCAACCCGGATGTGCTCTCTCTCTCTTTCTTTTCCAGACGCTTCTTCAATGAGCCAGGTAGTACCACGGAGTTATTACGAGAAGAACACCAACAGGGTTGAAATCGTCTCCCAGGCATGAAATTTTGGCCCCTTCACACCCGGGGAGCATCCTGGGCAGGCAGAGCAGGAGGGCCGAAGCAGTGCACCGCCACCAAGCTCGCGCTGTATACCTTGTCGGAAAAGATTCAGATGTACACTTGACTCACATTGTGACTTTTTATTCGCCAATTGATGGCCTTGGGAGGCGCTGGACGCTCGTTTACGGCCACTTACACTCCTATCCTGCTGCTTTGTAAACCACATGTCGTTGTTTTACGGACAAGGGTGCCTGGCGGGGATGGCTTGCGGGGAACCTTAAAAATCTCCGCGGACGCACATGTCCCCGATTTTTCCAGGAACACCCGTGCGAAGGCGCCCAGCAGGCCAATCAGGTTGGTCGCTCCCCTGGCTGTCGTTACCAGTGCCTGGTTGCCCCTGATTCCAGTGTAAGCGCAGCGCCCCGATAATTTCGACGACATCGCTCGGCAGAAATAGTGGGATGTTCTCAATTGCTCGCGACTGCGCATCCAATTTGAACCAAACTGATAGCTTTCCGATCGAGTCTGTAGTGAAGTTTTTGAGAGTTGTGACGGAACCGAAAGAAAATGCCTGTACACCCTGACAATTCGGTAAACCCTGGTGCTCAGGTAAGTCGACTTGATATGCGCATAACACCGTCATTTTCTGCATTTCTTACCCATCGACACCGACAGGATACCTCTTCAGCGCTTCTTTTTGCTTCTCTGGCGTCGTCAAGCTTTTCCCTACAAGCTTTCAGCATGTTCCCGTGTTGCTTACACTGTCTCGCTCGCCAGCAATGTCGCAACTCATGGTCAGCGGGCTCAAAACTGACTCACTCGCCCATGTTATTGTCTACCCAGGTCACGAACTAAATCTCTGCTGAAGTCAGATATCTGGGGCTATTCGGGACTTTTCGGCCGGGTAAAGATGAAGTACTCCAGAGGATGGACGCGCATGAATGGCTATGGGGCAGGTTGTACCCTCGTCATTGGTGCGCAGCTGCCGATGACATATCCTCATCGAGCTCCAAAACCCCTTTGATCTTCTTCAGTGCGGACTGTAAACTCAAATGGGCGGCGTCGTGAAGCCTCAAGTCGTGACCATAGAGGGTGCAATGTGGTCAGCCCAAACGGGGTGGCAACTAGCCAGAGTCATCGGTGGAATCACCAGACAACTTCCAGGTGTGAAATGGCTGTTGGGAGTTGCAAAGGTCTGTAAATATGTATGCCACAAGCTCGAGAGGTTCCTAATCTCAAAGTATATAGAGAAAGATTCGCAGCTCGAGTAGTCTGCCTTGTTTCTTCCCTCCTCTGCATCATCGTAACGATAGGTCAGATTCTCTCTTGTCTTCCATTATCGCAACGATACATCGCCGTCTTCCATCATCTTCACCATCGGTCACTGCCCTTCTATTCGTCTGAATTACCCGTACACACATTTTCGGTTTCCTCATACACCCCCTTTTACCCCGTGTGTACTAGCGGGCAATACTCCATACACCCAACCCCTGACTCTATTGGCATATTGAACCAATGGATCACCAGAGTCAAAACGAGCAGTTGATGGAGAGGGGCGTCACCCAAGCGGGTTCGGACGACGTTGTTAGTTCTAACAATGAAATCCACCCCCAGGCCTTCCCCCCGGCCACCAACGAGGAACTTTTTAACTTCCATGTAGAAGAGGAGGACGAAGTCTTTTACGAGAGGCTCACCGAAACACTCCGAATTGACGCCCAGTCGCCACCAAACAACCTCTTAGACGCCGAGCAAGACATGGTAGCCATCGCTACCGACGAGGCGAACAATGGACAGGCCCCGTTCGACCCACAGACATTGCCCCAGCTCTCCCTAGAGCAGGTAGATGCCGCCATTGCACAGGCCTGCCCCAATGGCACCGTAGAAGAGCTATCTGCCGCCATCGACCTTCTCAACAATCACCCAGTCCCGTTCTCGAGCAACCTCTTGGGCTTGGAGCAAGACAAGGTAGCCATCGCTACTGAGGGGACTTACAGCGGACAGGCCACCTTCCAATCACAAGCCTGTACCCAGCTCCCCTGCTACAACTCCCCATACAGCCCTTATGGTAACTACCAATCGAATGTTGCCAACACCTTGCCCAGCCAGCCCCAGTACGTCAACCCGGCTGAACTTCAGAACAACGGCGGCAACAGCTGCCAAAGGGTCGTCACCCAACAGATGGCGAACCCCGGTACTGGTTTCTTAGGTACCGGTGGCTTCGATCCTCGGACCATCGCCCAGGTCCCCAAGCCGTCCGAATACATGGACGTAGACTCAGTCCCCGGGGCCGAGAATATTGATCCGGCGCTCCTTGAGGACACAGTCCCGGGCCCTATCCACAATATGTCCGGACATATGGACATAGATTTCCCCGTCGCCGGTCAGCTCTCTACCCCGGGCCGGGCCCCGATCTCCGGCAACGGCAACGGCAACGGCAACGACGAGGGCAACGGCAACGGCGACGACGACGACGCGGACGCCGACCTGTCTCTGGCCCCACCTCAGCCTCTCATCGTCCCTGAAGCCCTCAGAGCCAACACCGCAGGCAACAGGGTGGAAAAGAAACCCAACAAAAGACAAGTCGGCAAGAAAGCCTGCTCTGGGTGCAGAAAGTCAAAGCTGAGGTGCAACTCCGTCCCGGGCGGCATTACTTGCCTCGAGTGCCTCCGGAGAAGCCGGCCTTGCGACAAGGGCCAGACGACTGACGACCGCACGAGGGAAGCGAACCGGGACAAGCTCCTTCGAACCGTCGAGAGATGCGAGAAGTACCTGGCGGATCTCCTGCTACTGATTTACAGCATGAAGATCGCGATGGACCAGGGCAAGCTGAACGACAAGATGACCATGATCAGGAGCCAGCTCTCAAGCGGTCTTACCGAGATCGGCATGTTGGTTTATTACCTCACAGACCAGCCCCTGACACCCCAAGATGAGCAAAGTGCTCATGCGTGTGTTCGCCTGGACGCGCTCGCCGGTCTACAATTAGACCTCCAAGGCATCGAAGAAAACCTAGCCGAGATGCGCAAAACGGGTCGCCTATGCGTTGAACGTACCAAGGACCGCGTCAAAACGTTGGGCCAATACCTTAACGTCGTGATGAACGATAAAGGCCATGTTAGGGACGCCCAGATTTCCTTGGGCAAGGTCAAAGGGTCGCGGACCCCTTTCAGTCAGATCGGCACCGATATGAGTGTCCAATTCAGCAACATCGCTGACAATAGCGATATTGTCCCCAGTCTTGTTGGCCATGTCGACAAACTCAAAGCCGTCTAAGAGACGAGAGAAACCGAGATGAGAGAGACGAAGGAGGCCGAGGGAGACGGAGGGAGACGGATGGGGACGATGGGGGACGAAGGGGGACGATGGGGGACGATGAGAGATAGGGGTGACGGAAACAGACGGAGAGGTTGATAATGCACAATACAACTTCGTCATCGCATTGTGTTCCATATTCATAATTTGATGTGATGTGATGATGAGTTTTGTTAGCCGGGCAATGTTCACCACACGCGTGTAATCCGTATATCGCCTCTAATTTCCTGTACTATTATCATATACTGTCGTCTTCGCTGTCTCCGTCGTCCATCATCTCTATCCCTATCGTTTTCTCCAGTACTATTGTCCATATAGAAGTATCAAGTACGCTAAGATCGGAGATATAGTGAATACTACCCGAATATAAAAGCTCATGATGATGTTTGTTTCCCATGTGTCTTGTCTCTCTGCTGGTGACTGGCTGGAATAATCGGAGAATGTCTCGTAAGCGGCGAAAGGCAGCCATATCAATTACTTCACGATGCTAATTCAACGGGACGACTATTCCCTTCTACCTCTGCAGCCCTTGTATTTGAGGACAGCTCAATCGCGTCGGGTATATGATTTCCATCTCTCTCTCTTCAGGGCCATAACCCAAAACACCGTGCTTGCTATCATAAGTCACACCATGGTGATTGTGGTCTCCTTCAGTGGGAGTAACCCCAGACCGAGAAACACGTTCGTCCCTTTTCTGCCTCTTTCGCAAGCCGACGAACAAGACACCTACAACCAGAGCAAGAAGTCCAACAACTATCCCTACAACAATTCCAGCTAAAGCTCCCGGCGACAAATCATTTCCTCCTCCGCTTTGAGTGTCGAAATCAACATCCTTGCCGTAGAGCGGGAACACCGGGTGAGTGATATAGATTGGCCCCGAACTCGACGGATCCGATACCGAAACTTTTCTGTAAGAGCCATAAATCGGTTTTCCTCCGCTTTCAGAAGCCCTGATCCAGACCTCTGTTGGCGTCTGAAGAAGACTCGTACAATCCCGCCATGGTGGGCCGATGGAAGCTGTTAGACAATTCCACCCTCCTGGGGGACAACACCAAGTTTGGACGTATTTGCCAGTGGGGACGTTGTAGGTAAGGGAAGTCGTACATGCGGGTGTCCAGCCGCTGATACATGCTGTGCCCGGGTATCCTAAAGTGGACGCTTCACCTACATTCAGAACATTGTCAGCGGAAGTACCCTTTCTTAATCAAAGCGGGAGTCGCCATGGATGAGCCGAGGTGAACGTAATGAAATCATCGCCCGCTGGGGACTGCACATCTTTTTAAGTCGTTGGGAAACATTCTTCAGGAAAAGAAGCTGCTGAAGAAGTAATGAATTTGTCGGCCCAGCAGCTGACTCCACGAGTGATGCTCTAAGTCTTGACTTCGTTGCATAAGATGGACCTGGGGAAATAGGTGCATGTTCTGGCTGGGGGAGTAAAAGGAACGGCATGCAGCGGAAGTGCAAAGGTTCTCTGCAAAGACGAGTAGCCCTCTGAATCGTAAAAGACTGTTTGCAACAACGTCTGGTTGGTAGTTGTTGAAGATGCCATGGCTTCTTGAGTATCTAGCTTGAAGCTTGATTTGGGTTGGAGGGTCTCAAGGGAGAACAATGAGCCATGTCAATCAGAGAAACAATCAAATTGAAACACGCAGCCAGACCCCCGGGACAGGGACCATGTCCCAGACTTTATGCAGGCGGGCTGTTTCACGAAATCTTGACTACCATGACATTGATGCTTGCACTCAGATTTTCACAGAATGGGGCTAGTCTATGTTTTCGGTCATACTTGAGACGAGAATTGAATCATCTAGTTGCATAAGTCGTTTATCGGGGCATAGCTGTTCACAGTAAGACAGGGTTCCACGGCTGTTCTCACTACTGTCCATGGTGAGATTTTGGACAAGGTCTAGAACCTGACGGCTTCAGCCTTGGATCGACAAGTGCGCGACGAACGGCAATGATATTTTCACACAGCCAAATGAAAGCTAAAAGCATGCTCAAGCTCCTCAACGGAAGAAGTCCTTCAACGGATCAGGCGGCGCCGGGTCCTTCATCAAACTCTTCTGAAATTCTGTCCTCAACCTCATCATCGGCTGCAAGACCCACGTGTTGAAGGCCAAGATGTCCGTCTCTTCCTTCGGGTCCCTCACGGTGTTGAACAAGTACGGCGACTCGAGGTGGCCCGAGGACTGGTTGACCTTGGGCTCCCACACCAGATGCAGCTTCCAGTCCTTCCATTTGACGGCCCGCAACTCCTCCTTGATGTAGAAGAGAAACCCCTCCCTCTCGGACTTGACCGTGCTTGGCTGCTTGAAGAACGCCGTCTGGTCGATGCCGTCGATTGGCCGGTCCTTTGGCAACTTGGACCCGGTGATGGCTAGCACCGTTGTGAAGATGTCTGTGACGTGGACGATTTCGTTGGACATCACGCCCTCCGGGACCTGGCCAGGCCAGCGAATGATGAACGGCACGCGCAGGCTTCCCTCCATGGCCGTGTGGTACGTCCCGGACCAGGGGCCGGCGGTGCCCCGGTATGGCTCTCTGAACTCGGGCCCGTTGTCCGAGGCGAATATGAAGATGGTGTTGTCCCTGACCCCCAAGGAATCGACGTGATCCAACAGCTCGCCAACGCGGTAGTCCATCTCGGCCATCGAGTCCGCAAAGTCACCCTGCCCCGTCTTCCCAGCGAAGTCTTTGTGGGGCAGGGTCGGGAAGTGAAGGTGGACGAGAGGGTGGTAGAGGAAGAAGGGCTTCTCTGCCTCCACCTGCCGTGTAAGCCAATCCTTTGATCGCTCGACCAACATCTCGTCAATCAGCCGCCTAGCCTCGAGGTCATAGATGCGAACATTCTCTGAATTCTCCCCAGCCACACCCTTCATGATGTACGGAAGCTCCGCGACCTCGGGCGTGTATCCGATGGCCGAGGTGAACTGCGTCTCGTCCGTGGTCCTCGGGATCCCGAACCACTCGTCGAAACCGCGATCAGACGGGTACCGCCCGGGAACGTCGCCCAGATGCCACTTCCCATGGTGTGCGGTGGCGTAGTGGTTGTCCTTGAGACACTCGGCGAGCGTCTTCTCCCACGGCGTGAGACCTTGCGGGAAGCCGGCCGGAACCGACTGCCGGCATCCCGTCCGGATGGGGTGGCGCCCCGTCATCAACGCGGACCGCGTGGGCACGCAGTCGCTCTCGACGTTGAAGTTGTGCAAGAGGAGGCCCTCGGTAGCGAGCTTGTCGATTCGGGGAGTCGCGGCGCCCCGGAGAGCGCCTCCGCCGTAGCATCCCAGCTCTCCCCAGCCCAGATTGTCGGCTAGAGCTAGGACGATATTTGGTCGATTTGGATCGCGAGACATCTTTGAGCGCAAGAAGAGTACCGTATCAATGGGCTGTTTGAATTTGGTCTCCTGCGTCAACCAGCCTGAGTTCGACAATGAAGTTATATGCATAATGGGCGACCGGCGTTCGCCTGATGGCCGTTGTCGCTGACCTCCGATCGCGTTACCGGACGGAGATGACCTCCGTTGCGCTGCTGAATCATGAGACAGACAGTCGGAAAATGACTAACAAAGCATTCCCGTTTGCGCTTTGCTGCTGTTTCGCATTTGGCCAAAGTAAGATTGAACCAGGACAAAATCCAGCTCGAGGAGAATGGTATCGCGCAACAACTTTTGAAGGTGAGCAAGTGCAGCCACTGATGTATTGATGCCATGCACTTGTAAGATGTCAACCCCAGCCAACCTCCTCTTCCCTCCTCCATAGAAAATGCAATAGATATGAATGATAAACCAATGTATCGTTGAATCCCTGATGGCTTACTTTGGCTTCAGTCTCAAGTAGCGACTGCGACTGTTCCGCCAACTTACAAGATCCACCGGGTGAAAACGCGGAACTGAGCGAGATGATTCAGTCAAGTACGAAAGCTTGCAATCAAGCCTTCATTCTCGAGAACTTCCCGCTAGTTGAGCGTCTTCCGCAGCATCACTTGGCTTCAAGAGCGATTCATATTGCAATTGGCGGCGGCCTTTGGTAGCGCCCATGGACGGCAGGTGTGGGGGAGAGAAACGAGAGTACTGGAAACTGTTTGTATTGGCCTTGTAACCTAGCTACCTACTTGAACGTAGCTGTGTGCGCAGCACCTTGGGCTACCTGACAGCAATTGCGTCGGATCTTTTCAAGACAACCGGGGTTCATGCCAAAAGACAAAACGCAAGGAGAAAGTATGTACCTCACCATCAAATTTCCGACCTCATAGACAAAGCTCAGTGAAAATCTTCGGGCGAGAGCAGGAGAGTGGTGATTCCAATTGGAAAAGTCTCTCCTACCGGTTTACTCTTCGCCAGTCGTATACCTCGAAAACCATGGATCTTGTTGGTTAACGCGGAGATATCCTAGCGTACATGCACACGAACTTCTACGACGGACCTACCGTTGAGAGGACATTCCAATTTCATGTAAGGGAACGAGTATCCTCTTCGCCAGCAGTGCTGTGGTCAGGTTAGCAGGTCACAAGATGTGTGTAGCAGAAAGGGGGGTGTGGCCCCAAGACAGCATCGCCCCAGGAGGGGCGGGCGATGGTGGCTTCGGGAGGACCTCCCATGGAGCACTTCACGGAAGACGTGGAAGTGGCCATTGAGAAAGAGTATTTCTCATTTGATTTTCTAGAAACTTTTTTGCTTTTTAGCCTTGTGATTCCCTCATGTCCTTTCCCATTCCAGGCAATGCCATTGCCAAAACGCGTTCAAGGTATTGCGTCGTCATCGCAAAACGCCGTCGATGGATATCGTAGTATGTCATTCCCGCCGCCGTGCTTTTGAGTAATACCGTTTTGTGTTGTCCCTTGAATTGCCGCTGATCGTTGGGTGAATCCCAGCCAGAGACAGAACTTTTTCAAACCCTGCTCAGGCTGGGATGGTCGTCATCATTGACATTGGAGAAAATTTAGGCGGAGGCGGTGGACTTGACGCGGAGCTCGCGGCCGACCTTGATGCGCTCAAGGATGGACTCACGGTCCTTGTCGAGCTTGAGCTTGGTGATGACGACGTTGGAGGGGTGGATGCCCAGAGGGACGGACTGGCCGGAGGCCTTGTCGCGGACGACGCGCTCGACGTGGACGACGTACTTGAGGCGGTAGACGGAGGTGATCTTGCCCTCACGGCCCTTGTTGGTGCCGCGGACGATGGTGACCTCGTCGTCCTTGCGGATGGGGATGCTGCGGACCTTTGTGGGAGTCAGTATCTGTCGTTCGGAAAACCGTCATGGCGGGTTGACGTACGTTGTACTTCTCACGGAGCTCCTTGGAGAGGGGAGCGCTCATGATGAAGCGACGGGTGCTGGAGGGGGCACCGAAGTGGGCAGCACGCGACTTGCGGCGGCTGGAGTGAACCACTTTGTGGAAAAGTCAGCATTTTTTTTTTGTCAATTGACCGCAAGAATAGCAGTTGAACGTACTCTTGTTAACCTTGGTCATTTTGGCTGGGCGTTAGTAGGAACGTCGTTGGGCGGGAATGAGTTCTTGATGGTTGTCGGAGAGCGGAATGGCCAAAAGAAAAGCGAAAAAAAGTTTCGACAGGCAATGGTCGATTTTGCACGCCCACATAAAATTCTGCTGCCGGCTGGCACGTGACCAAAAACTGCCCTAGGTGGTGGTCCACGTGATGGTTCCTGAGCGATGGTCCAAGCTTCTGTACCTGCCTAAACTTTCGAAGGTCCGCGGCATCGGCGATAAGATAACGAATCTCAGCTCGCATGTCGCCAGTGTATTTACCAAGGGACGAGTCCAGACAATGAAGTCATGCACTTTTTCCTTCTCTAAAGTGAGCTTCTCACGGAATATCTGAATATAATTTTGCACGGCCATTCAAGCGTCATGCTTCTCGGTTGCATTTACGATGTTCACAGGCCTGTGGTATTTTCTGACCATTGTCGGAATGATATCCTACAGATGTCCACCTACATGTCGCTTACTTCATGTCCTCAGATGCTTGTAGCCTGTAAACGCCTGTCAAAATGCCCCTCCTTTTGAAATGCCATGGCTTCATAGTATGACACGGGCGTAGGAGCCCAATCTTTTTATACAGTAGTGTTTCGGTGGATGGTATTGGAGTGGCGATATCCCGCAGTGCGGATTCGTTCAGGTCAAAGGTTACTTCTGCTCAATCGGCACAGGTGCCTTGAACCTGCCATTGTCGTCGTACTTGGCCTCTGCTCAACCTGTTAGCAACAACCCAACACTGTACGAACCAACGAAACGTACTGAAGAATGTATAATTCAACGTCACGGTCTCGATACCGCGCATATTGACATCGTTCACGATATCCGGATCAAGGTAGAAGAAGACGGGCATATCGACCGTCTCGCCCGCGTTCAGCCGCTGCTCTTCAAAGCAAAAGCATTGGATCTTGCTAAAGTACGGCGCCACCTGCCCAGGAGTCACGCTGTAAGTCGCCACGCCGATGATGTCCGTGTCGGAGGTGTTCGTCGCGGTGTAAAACGCCAGCGCCGTCTCGCCGGGGAGCACGCGCACCTCCCTCTGCTGGGGCGTGAACTTCCATGGGAGCACGTCGGAGACGGAGGAGCTGAATGTGACACGGATGCGGTTGGCCGAGGTCACGGGGACCAGGCGCGAGGCGAGGCCGTCTTCGCTGTAGTCGACGTCGGGGCCGTGGGCACGGATGGGTTGGCCACCCCAGCCTGTTGTTTGGCAGATCTAGAACAGAGGGGTCAGCTTTGCGGATTGCATATCTGAAGAAAGAGAAGGGAATGCGCACCATCTTGTAAAGAGGTACAGAACCGTATGACAATGCGACCGTACCAAGGATGACGCTGAGGGTGTAGTACCTGCGTACTCTCTTAGCAACCTTTCCGAGGCCCAATTGAATATGTATGTGTTCCTACGCTGTCGTAGCGTTCTTCCGTCTGTAATGCGCATGCACCTGTTCCATGGACGGGGCGCCGCCGAAGCTAGGACCGGTTTGCTGCTTCGGCGAAGGTGTGGTCGATGCGGCGCGGCGGGCGGCGGGAGAGGCAAGGTTTCGAGGGGAGGGGCGGGCGTGTTGGCAAAAGAAGCAGTTCCATCTCTGCGCCGACTGTCGCCATGGGAGGCGCGGTAAGGCGTTCATGATCGCGGACGATTTTGCGATTTGAGGATGGAGCGTGTGAGTATCATGCCATTCGGGAATTCGAGGTGAGGTGGGTTGAGCTTCTGGAGCGCCGGCAGACGCCGAAGGTGCCGGGACGGGTGGGGTTTGATCCGCACCACCGGGCTTTGACTTTAGCGGTTTTTAGGGGTCTTTGCGCTAAGGGGCTGGGTGGACATCCCGCTGTAGGTCCCAGGGGCATGTGCTTCACTTCCTGGGCGGCTGCGGACTTGCATGCATCGACACGACACCTGCATATCTGTGTAGTATCGACCTTTCTTTGGATGATGGGAATATAATAGGTAGGTATTTATTTACGGTGGTTTGCCAGCCTGTACGCTGCCTCATGCAGCCTTCCCGTTCTTGACGGCCCTTTTCAGGCGGTTTGCACGCGGAGTAACGACCCTCAGCGCTGCGCCAATGGCTCTCTCCAACACCCTCACGACAAAAACCTGAATTATGAGAATGATGAGTCTCACAAATAAATCAGCAAGTCCCAGTGAGGGCTTCCTCCCTCGGCTATACGTGGAATCGACAAACTGGAACGGCAGCTTCGCGTAGAGGTGATCCTGTGCAATGTGCAGACCGCTGCTGAAGCCGTCTTCGTGAAAGCCGTACTTCGTCCACGCTCCGGCGTAACTGATTCCACGCTTGTTCTGAATGCGTGGCAGGAGCTTCTGTGCGCGAACGGCCTCCGGGGTATAGAGGGGGTGGCGGTAAGTGAAAGAGCCCTGGATCGTGTCCGGGTTCGGCTGGTGCAGGGGGTTCATCGTGACGAGGACATCGCCGAAGGTCTCGCGGGGGATATGCTGCAGAATGTTCATGTTGTACGTCAAGGAGACCTGGTCAATATTCTGCTTCCCAGTTGAGGGTGATGAGAGAGTGAGGTAGTTCCAGCTCGACCAGGCCTTCTCTGAGGCTGGCATGTGCGAGAGGTCGGAGTGCAGCACGACTGAGTTCTCTGACGTCTTGAACGCAGACAGAATCTCCTTCTCCTCTGGCGTTGCGGATGACCCAATTATCCTGAGGGCCTGGTCTCCATGAGTTGCCAAGATGACATGGTCGTATACGTCGGACTTTCCGTTGTGGGTGTGGACTCGTACTCTGCCGTCCTCCTCGCTCGTGACCTGGGTAACTTGCGTGTTAAGGAAGAGGTGGTTTGAAGGGAACCCGTGCATCACGGCGTCAATGTATGACTTTCCACATTTCTTCAGGGTGAGCCACTGCGGTCTGGTCGAAATGGTTGACAGGAGATGGTGATTCCACCTGCATTGATGTCAGCATCAACAATTGTCCATCAGCGGGAAACACTTACATGAAACGAACGAGGGTGACAGCCGGGAAATCGAGTGTACACTTGTCTGGGCTCGTGCTCCACACCGCAGCGGTCATGGGAATAAGGTAGTCGTCCCTGAAGGCGTCCGAGTAGCCTTCCCTATCGAGGTATTCGCCAATCGTCTCCTCCCGCTTTGCTCCCTTGCTGTACCCATTCATTGCGGCGGCATCATTCTCATCATCGACCATCAACAAGTCCAGGGCAAACTGATTGAAGCGAATGATGTCGAAGATCATCCTCCACATGCGCAGCGAAAAGATGTTCTTGCGCTGGGAAAAGAGGGCGTCCAAGCTCGTGCCGGCCCATTCGAATAAGCCGTGATCTCGCGTTACACCGAACGTCATCTCCGTCGGGACCGTATCCACCTTGACCCTCTTCAGGAAGTTGATGAAGTTTGCTGTTCACCGTGTGAGTAGAAGCCCTCATCTGGCCAGTATGGTGGACTCACGGTACGTCGCCGCGTTGAGGACGATGAATCCCGTGTCGACCCTCGTCTCGTACTTTCCATTCTTCCAAGTTACGGTATTCGTGTGTCCACCGAGCCTCGACGCGGCCTCATACATGTAGACATCATGATAACTTCGATTCAACGCCCAGAGGGCAGCAATGCCGGCACATCCACTGCCGACGACGGCGACCTTTTTCCTAAGCTTCGGGTCAATGGGGGAGCCCACAGAACCCACGGATTCCAACGACGGAGGTCGACGGGGCATTATTGAAGCAGTAGACATCACTGAGACACCTGCAAACGGTACGAACAATGCAGAGCCTCAAGTTTGGCCAAGCCACGTCTCGTAGGTGCAAGGTTGAGAAGAGATTTTGCGATGTTACAGTAACATAAGGTGTATAAAAGGCAAGAGCGGGCAGAAGAAAGAGACAGGAATCAGGGAGGCCGGTAAGCTTCGCAGCTTGCGCAGCTCTCAGCCCGAAATGTCTTGGAATGGCGGGGTCCAAGGTGCAAGCCACGGGCGTCGATTTGGGGAAGAAGAACAATGGGATGGACGGGTTTCGCACATGCCAACCCCGCGCCACCGCTCATCCCAAACTTGGGCTTTTGGAGAAGAACTAAGTCTCGAGAGTCTCTGGGAGTTTGAGGAGTCTGAGGAGGCGAATGTGGTGGGCATGGTTGCACACACCGCACACACCGGGCTGTGGACCAATGCACCTAGTGCTGCAACTCGCGCAGGTGACGGACGGGTTCGGGGGGAGGGGAGTGCGGCAGCAGTGGTAACATGCAGATACTTGGTGGACGAGCATGTGGGAAAGCGTTTGTACGGGAAAAGGATGGAAAATCCACTGGCAGGAAGACGTGCAGATAGACAGGGAACAACAGAACGAACAACTTACAGCGGCTGACCTGGCGCCATTCCTGCTCCGTTTCGTGGGTTTCCGGTATGGATCCGATATGGGTATCCCTCAGAGGACTGGACTGTAGAGCGATCGACACGTGGCTACCAACAAGCTGCACCGGGTGCGTCCTCCGATGTTTTTAAGATAAGTTTTGATGTTTTTAAGATAAGTTTTGACAGCGACGAGGGAGAAGGGGTACGAGGAGGAGGAGAGACGGTATGCAAATGTGTGTCGGGAAAGGGAGCGTTCGGTTCGGCCGCGGATCACGATGCGATGAAACGAAACTCTGCTGCCGGAGCTCCCAGGCGCAATGACGCTTGCATTGACAATCCCTGCAACCTGCGCGCCTGATCTTCAGAAGTCCCCAGCGCTCCCCAGCCCCTCCTTGTCACGACGTTCTTTGCGACTGTTCACGATCCCGACGCCACAGGGTGGCTGGCCGATTTCCTTGACTACACACTTGTCGAACGAAGACTGATGGAGGCTGATATCTGGATCAACGTTTGACAGTGCATCTGCTTTATTTGATATCTGACGAGTCCGCGCGACAGCTTAACACGTAAAGGGTGAGACGTCTTGCATGTCGCAGCCCAATAATCGCCTCAGGGGCGTTGACTATCGCCGGCGTCTGCAGCATCGCATACTCCTAGCTATTGCATCGCGAGACCCCTGACCGTTGGTCTGGCATTGGTTCCTCGAGCGACAAATTTCGAATGGTGGCTGGCAAAATCAGCAGGAGCGGTCCTTCGAGAAATGAGTGACTGCAAGTTCGGACGTGTGATCATTCAATATTATACGGAGACACAAGCGACACACGAATACTCTAGGAGAGAGCTTCTTCTTCGCAACCAGGGCAAGCCCCAGACAGCAATGAAAAAGAGAAAAAAGACACGCCTGTCAGACGTCCATCGACACCCACCCTGACCGTGCGCCCAAGGGCAAGACCACAGTCAGGGACGAGATCATCACCGCCTTCTATACAGCCCAAGCCTCAAGGGCAAGAACCGCCCTCCAGAACGGAGAGTGCGAAAGCAACCAGAGTTCTTCACTCTAGGGTGTCGAGGATATCATTCATCAACCAGGGTGGGATCTGTGGCTCCTGTAGGGAACCAAGAATAGGTCGAATACTATAGAAATGATTCTCTGAAGTATTGTCGACATAAGGAAAAAAGAAGAAGAAAAGTCTAAGATTCGCGTCGAGAGGTCGCCCTTATATAGATCTCTGGCGGACGGCCAAGACGCACGGGCCAGAGTGGATTTTTCTGTGGGGGTTTCTGCCTGCGGTGGGCGACGACGGCGCAAATTTTTAGAAAGAGGCGGGTGACCGCCTTGATATTGCCGCTTTTTCGGCTCAACATGTTGCTGACGCCAGAACTTGTCTTTGCAAACCACGAAAAGTGAGGGAGAGAGTCGATCCAAAGTGGTCTTTGTGGGCGAAGGCAGGTTCCAACCATTTGACTGGCAGTTAGGCAGGTGTATTGTGTTGCGAACGTGGTTCTGTGTCGTGGCGCATGATAGATGATCGATGCGCCTGGTAAGCGCGCAGAAAGCGTCTGCTGGAAATCCCTTCACTTCCAACGCCTCTACCATCAGAAATTTCTCGAGATGCCTCCAGTGCTCCCGGTGCCTGGTTGACCCACATGGGCGATAGTGGATAACTGTCACATGAAAATTTCAAGAAGCAGTCGGTCTGCCTATACTGTTACTCACGAGACGGACACGCAATATTGAGTCCCTGTCTTAAGACGTGGCATTGCGTCGGACGTCAGGCAGATAGATATTCTCACACCCAGCCTAGGTACTTGAGAACGACTTAAAGGAAATCGGTAAGACGAGGCATCAACTTCATCTTGTGATTCTTGGCGATAGGTTCACTGTCTGAACGGGAAGTTTCCATGTTGCGGTTGCCTTATGCTTGGGATCTGCACCAGCGGAATACCCATACAGACAGACATAGGTCACCGCGAGAACTTCAGGCCAACAGTGAGCCGAACGCGGCAGTTTCTCTATCGTAGCAGCGTTCATGTCGCTTGCCTACGAGACACATATCATTTGGAGACTTCAAAAAATTGTCTACGATGAAAAAATGTCGAGCACTCAACGGGATCGGAAAACGTGAGATCGAGTTCCCAATTCTTAAAAGCGACGTGACGAGGCATCTTCCCGAAAGGAGACACCCACCATCCTTCTGCCCGGCTTAAGTTCAACTCGACGTCCGTCAGGCACCGAAATGCCAGTCGACGCAGAGCCGGTTTTCCTCGAACCGGGGGTATAATCAACTTGAAGAAAAAAGAAGAGAAAGGAAAGAACTTCGTTTGCGCCGCCAAACTGCCATTAAAAGCCTGCAGCGGACGGGGCCAGCAGCCGGCGCACGGTCCAGGTTGGTCACGTGTTTCTGGCGTTCTCCAGGCACCGGCCGCCAGCCGGGCACTAGCCACTGTGGACCTGAGCGCCTCGTCAGACCCCATTGGAGCACCAGCCACTCGGGAGCATGATGTCGCCAAGGCCGGTCCAGACTTACGCATGCTACTTGCCCGACGACCTTCCAACAACGCAATCGCTCGCCCCCCATCCCACCCTTTGATCGCATCCGGCCGTTCCAGCGCTCCTACAACATCAACGTTCCCGACAATCCTATCTGTTTCCACAATTCGACTCCCGACGAAACGACGTCCGCATTCGCTGTGAGATTACACGCAGAAGTCCATAAAGGAGGCGCTCCGCTGTCCATCCAGGGTATCCGCCGTCCCCTAATCGCCGTCGAGGGCGAACACCATCTCTTACGCTTGCTTGGCCAAGCCCTCTGATCATCCTCGAAACCGCCGACTTCGACGCAGCACTCGCCCAACATGTCCAACCCTCTCGAGACCGAGCCCGGCTCTGAGCGCTTCAGCGACTACGAAGCCGAGCTCAAGCTCGTCCAGGCCGACCTGGTCCAGAAGCTCGACCAGATCCCCGAACTCTCGGGCGAGCCGCGCAAAGCAGCTCTCAGCTCCGCAGAGCGCGCCCTCGAAGAGGCAGATGAACTTGTAATTGCGAGCCCCATAACCCTGAGCAAGGCAAGACGGTGCTAACAGTGACATATCACAGCTCGCCCAGATGCGCCTCGAAAAGGCAAACATCCCCACGACCCTCCGCTCCAAGATCAACGCCCGCTTCCGCAACCACGAATCCGACATCGACTCCCAGAAGCGCAAGCTCCGCTCCCTTGCCGACGACCGCGCTGCACTCTTCGGCGCTCGCTATACCGACAACCCATCAGGCTCCGGCCAAGACGTTCAGCTCGAGCAGCGCCAGCAGCTGCTCAACGGCACCGACCGTCTCGACCGCTCCACCCAGCGCCTCAAGGCCTCCCAGGCTCTGGCCAACGAGACGGAGTCCATCGGCGCCAGCACCCTCGCTGACCTGCACCGCCAGCGCGAAACCATCCAGCACACCCATGACCGCCTCCTTGAGAGCGAGGGATATGTGGACCGTAGTGTCAAGACACTGCGGGGGATGGCCCGTAGGTAAATATCGTCCTTTTCCCCATCTACTGGATTTGAATGATGGCGAAATGCTAACGCCGGTCCGCTGTAGGATGGCTACCAATCGGGTGATTACCATCTCCATCATCACGATCCTTGTTCTCCTTATTGTCGCCGTTATTTTCAGCAAGTTCAGGTGAAGCAGCAGCATCGGCAGCAGCAGCCACCCACTGGGTTCGGAGTTTTGGGTTGTACGTTTATCATCACGATGTGCCTTTTGTTTCTCGGGAGCTTCGTGGGGTTGTTGTATTATGTGTCCCCCCACGTGTTTTATGCAAAGAGAATGGGCTTCAATGCATGTTATATAACGATGTGAAAAAATGAAGCCCCTGGTCTGGGTTTTAAGCCGGCCGCAAGTCGCAACAGAGACGTCTTTCTCTCAATCTTTCTCTCTCTCTTTTATTTTGATCAAACCGTGCCACGATAAAACACAAACTTGAAAGTCATGCATACAGTAGATGGGATTACGAGTCGTTCGTTTGTAAATACCAATTTCGTTCTTCTTTTTCTCTACCTGCCGTTAAGACGCCACGTGAAAGACCCTTTTCGGAAAAGAGGGATCGCTTTTTACCTCATTTAGACGGGTATAATCAGACTGTACATCCCAAAGAAAACACACACACATATATCAGACGTGTCCACTACCTTCGGCCGCCACCTCTGCTGCGGCCCTTGTTCACACCACCACCAGACATCGGGCCCCGTCTCCTCTCCTCACCAAGCCCCTTGCGCCCGGCAGCGATACCACCCCTGCCACCGCGTCCGCCGCGCGCACCACCGCCACGGCCACCCCGACCGCCGCGGAAAGGCCTGCCGCCGCCGGCGCCGCCTCTGTTCCTGTCGACCTGCGCCTTGACCGCAGCCGCGTCGCCCTCGTCCATGTCCTCCATGTCCTCGTCGTCCTGGCCGCGCTTGTTGCTGAACTTGAGCTTGCCGCCGCGGCCCTTGCGGGCGACGTCCTTGCCCTTGAGCGCCGCGACGTAGGCGTTGACGCCGGAGCCTTCGCCGGCGCCGCCGTCCACCTCCATCTCGTCGTCGCTGTCCTTGCCGAGGATGAGCTTGCCGTCGAGGTCCGTCTTCGCCTTGGACCGTGCCGGCTTGCGCATCTTGACGGGCTTGGTCGAGGAGATGTTGGCGAGGGCGTTGCGGTCGAGCAGGTCGAGCGGCTCGTCCTCGTCCTCGACAATGTACGTGTTTCCGCCCTTGCGGTTGCCGCGCTTGGCCTTGAAAGCGGCGGCCCCCTCGCCGTCGTCGGAATCGTCGTCGTCGGAGCCGTCCGAGTCACTGCTGTAGAGGGCCTGGTCGAGCTCATTGTCGAACTTGCGGCCGTGGCGGGCGTCGCCGTCATCGTCGCTGTCCTCGCCAGCCTGGCGCGCGGCCTCCTTCTTCTTCTTGCTGCGCTCCTTGGTCTTGCGGATGTTGTTGATGAGCTTGCGGTCGGACTCGGGGCAGTTCTGGTTGACGAGGTCGTAGCCGAACTTGCGAACCATGCGCTCGAGAATGTGGCGGACCTTGCTCTTGAAGTGGCCCTTGTGCTCGTGACCCCAGATGATGAGATTGGGGATCAGGCTCGACAGGCGGGGGATGACGAGCTCCGAGGGCAGACTGACGACGCAGATCTTGACGAAGCCCAGGACGCTCTTGACGATCTCGCGGTTGTTGGAGGTCAGGAAGAGGTCCATTGTTTGGACGAGGTCGGCGAGGGTGTTCGTGCTGAAGGAGCGACGGAACTCGTAGAGGACGCGGCTGAGGGCCGTGATGGAGGCGGAGATCATGTGCGGCGTGCTGCCGACGAGACCGGCGCTGACCATGGTGAGGAACTCCTCGATGTTGGCCTTGCCGGCGGGTGCATCGGCGGGCATGTGCGGGACTCTGGAGTTGTCAATGATGGCGTTGTTGGCGGCCTCCATGCGCTGGCCCATCTGGACGAGAAGGTCATAGGCGGCTTCTCTGGCGCGCTCGTTATTCTCCTTGCAGCAGATAACGACCTCGCTAAGGATTGCGGGGATGAAGTGAAGGGAGGTGTCGGGGATGAAGGCGAGGAGAGATGAGAGGGCGCCGAGACGCTCACGACGAGCTGGAGCGGAAACCTTCTCAGCACTGTTGAGGAACATTTGTTGCAGCTCTTCGGTACGCTCCTGGAGGGCGAGCTTGCCAGTCTCGGACTCGGCCAGACGAGGAACCAACTTGTAGGCCTTCTTCTGCAGTTGCGGCTCGTTCTCTTTGAAAATGATGACGGCGGCGATCTCGAAAAGAGCAGAGAAGCTTTCACGGGGCAGGTAGACCGAGATGGTGATGATCAGGTCCATAAGCGTGTTGCTTGTTGACGGCATTTGTTCCGATGACTTCTGCTGCTGCTTGGGCTTCTCTTGCTCGGCAGTCTGCTGCAGTTCCGCTGCGAGCATTTTGCTGACGCGATCGAAGGTCTCGACAAGCTCCTTCTCGGGAGTGACGCTCAGGAAAGCGTTGATAGTAAGTAGGATAGGTCCCCTTGACTGGGGCAGGGTCTGCGTGTAAACGTTGAAGAGGACAGCCAGCATGTTGGCCGCAAATCCGCCCAAGTGCTCCAGGTTCTTCTTCGCTGTGGCCCTGGAGACACGGCTCTG